AAAATTTTAGTTCATAAAATTAATTAGGAGATTTTATATTAATTTTTAAAGTGAACAGTGCACAAGTCAGGGTAGTAGGTTTAAAAATGCCAGTCCCCAGGGTGATTTAAATATTTAAATCGCCGGTCCCCGAAGTGTTAAGAAAAAATAAAAGAAAGTTCCGATTAAGATAGAAGAAACTGAAATCATATTTGTTATATTTTAATATAGTGCTCTGTTACATTATTACTTTGAACCAGTTCTATTACTATGTGTAGAATACCCTGGCTAAGTATACGCTCTTTACTTTTACAATATTATAGGATATTATGAAATTTCAGATATTGTTTATGAACATTTTACAGTTTTGTATCTTGATGAACCATACAGTGTTGTGTGATGTGATGTGTAGAATGCTTTAGTTTTAAAACTGTAAAATTTGAATTAAGTTATAAAATGAGTTTTGCCTGGAAGGTCACAGGTTCAATTCCCAGTGAGGTCATTGGATTTTTCGATTGACATAATTCTTCCATCCAAACCATGGACCTGGGATTTACTCATTTTAACAGAAATGAGTACCAGGAATCTTCCTGAGGGTAAAGGACGGCCAGTGCATAAAGCTGACTACCTCACTGCCATCTGTGAGCCCAATGTCTAGAAAATGTCGGAGCCTGAAGGTCTCACAACCCTATGGGCCTTCACAGCCTGTTACAGGGATAGCTTTACCATTTTTACCTTTTACCCAATTGTTTTATGAATTCTTTAAATATAAGAGGTAAGTAATATGAAATTTTAGAGGAAGAAAGTTAATTTTTACATACTTACAAAATGGAACTAGCAAATGATTCACAAAATTTGCATTTCTTACACTGTTATCAGTTTTATGTGTGTGTATGGACTTTTGAGAGAGATTGCAGACTTACCATATGAGCTTCCCTCCATAGAATTCATTTCTCACCTGGGATATTGTTGCTTTTCTTGCGAATATCACAAAGTGTAGCTAGCTAAGACTTTAAGAAGGAATAACATTCAAATTAACAAATTAAAATTCTGTCATATAATTAAAGAAGAGCAGAAACAAAGATTTTAATTACATCCAAAAACTACCATCCAAACTACTTTAATAGCAGTTGACAAGAAAATGGAGCAAATTTTATTGTATATTTGAGCTTTATCTATTAGGCCCATGGTAGAAAGTGAGAAACTGATAGGAAATTAACATTTTTAAAGGTTTTAATTATTAATTTGAAAAGAGATTTTCTTTTGTACACAGGTGTTAGAGAGCTCTTTGAGCAGGAACCACCACCACCTCCTAGAAAGACAAGTGCCGAGCTCATGAAAGATATTGATGCTGACTACTATGGTTATCGAGATGACGACGATGGCATTCTGACACCGCTTGAGCAAAGTGATGAGAGACAAGGTACCTAGAGAAATGTAGAGAAATGAAAATGAGAGATTTTTTATCTCCTTTATTGACAATCAGATACTACAATCTTTCAGTCAATTTGCTGTCTTGTGTACAATTAGTTAAGAATTGTACACTTCAGTGGCTTGAGTGGGTCACTTCCATCGACGTGTCCCTCAGATTTTTAGATCTTCTGGCCACTTTCGTCCAATTCTTCTGTGGTTGTGTTGCAGTAATAGTGGCTCGAGCAGTGGGTTTGGGTGGTTAGCTAATTTGCTGAAGTGGTTGATGCTGTGTCCTTTGATGACTTCTGTGACGTATGGAATTTTGAGGTCGGTGTGAATGGTGTGGTTAGACACGTACCATGGTGCGTTTACGATGAGACAAAGAATTTTTGATTGGGTTCGTTGGATGAGATCTATATTTGTTTTGTTGGCGCATCCCCAGATTTGGATTCTGTATGTCCATATTGGTTTGATGACTGCTTTGTATATTAGCAGCTTGTCAATGGATAGGTGAGATTTTTTTTCCTATGAGGCAGTATAGGTCTTTGATTTTTTGATCCATTTGTTTCCTTTTCGTGAGGATATGTTATTTCCAGTTGAGCTTGTTGTCAAAGGTAAGTCCGAGATACTTTGCTTGATCTTTTTGTTGGATGGTAGTGTGGTTTATTTGAATTGGGGGGCATTTGCCTTTTTGAAGCGTGAACGTTGTTTGAATGGATTTCTTCATTAACTTTGATTTTCCATTTTTTTAGCCATTTTTCTATGAGTATGAGGTGGTTCTGTAAGTTAGTTGCTACTGTGATGGGATTATCGTGTGTGGCGAAGATAGCTGTGTCATCGGCAAATGTCCCTATGAGTGTTTTATGGGATGTGGGGAGATCGTGGGTGTAGAGCATGTAGAGGAAGGGACTGAGCAGGCTTCCTTGTGGTATGCCTGAGCGGATTGGTAGTCTTCTTGATTATTCATTGTTTACTTTAACTACGAAAGTTCTATCGCTTAAAAATGAGTGTAATATTGGGAAGTAGTGTGATGGGAGGAGTGTTTTTATTTTGAAGAGTAGACCTGGATGCCAGACTTTGTCGAAAGCCTGGGCTATGTCTACGAATACTGCAGTACAGTATTGGTTGTTGTTCAGTGCTTTGACATATGGTATTGGCGATGCGATGGCTTTGTTGAGTCGTTGAGTGCGATATACGGAAACTGAACTGATGGTCTGGGGTCCAGCTTTTTGGATTTGAATCTTGGTTAATTTTGTTGAGGAGTAGTTTTACAAGGAGTTTTGCTATTATTGGTAGGAGGCCTATTGGTTGGTATGAGGCGACATTGGTTGGATTTTTCCCAGGTTTTAATATCATTATGATTTGGGCTGTTTTGAGTGGGAGGGGCCAGTAGTTTAATCGGAGAATAGCGTTGAGTAGGTATAGGAGTTTCAGTCGGCCTTTTTTGGCAGTTGTGTTAGAATTTCGGTGGTGATGAGGTCTAGTACTGGTGCTTTTTTGGGTTTTAATGTGTTTATTGCTGTGTGGATCTCCTTTAGCGTGAAATGCTTTGGTTGTTTGGGTCTTTGCATGGTTTCGTTGAGCATTGAGTCTACTTCCTGCAGTGGTTGGTTGTCCTGGGGGGTGAATACTTCTTGTAAGTGTTCTGCAAACAATTCAGCTTTTTCATGATCGCTTCTTGCCCATTTGCTTGGAAGAGTCGTGCACTTGCGTATTGGTGAGGTAACTGATGTTGGCCGTCTTTTGTTCCATATGGGTTTCCAGATAGAGTTGTCTTGTCTGGAGAGGTTTGCGGTATATTTTTCGAAAGATGTATTCCTTAAGTCCTGTAGTTGTAGTTTTAGTTTGTTGCTGAGTTGTTTGACTTTTAGTTTGTCTTCCGGGGAATGGGTTTTTTGCCAGTGTGATCTTTCTCTTCTTTTTTCAGCAATTAATTTTTTTGTCCTTACTGGGATGTTGTTAGGGGTGGGGGTATGTTGGAATGTAGGGGTTGCCGTTTTGGCTGCTTCTTGTAATAGGTTTATGAAATGTTTGTAGTCTCTTTCCATGTCAGTTGGGTCCTTCAGTTTGGTGTTTAGTATTGTGTTGGCTTCTATGATTTGTCGGAATAGTTCCCAATTTGTTTTGGAGGTGTGGAGCTTGGGCTTGGAAATGAGAGATGAATTATTCTCACACATCATGATGGTGCTTGTATGTGCCCAGGCATGGTGTTCTCTACAGCCCAGTTATTATACATGAGTATACATGGCAGTGGGCCGGTCACGGTAGCCGAGCGGTCTAAGGCATGCACTGTCTTCGCTCACTCGGAAGCCGGGATCATGGGTTCGAATCCCACTCAGGGCATGGGTGTTTGTGTGCAGGTAGAAGCCTTGCGACGAGCTTATCGCCTGCCCAAGGAGTCCTACCATATGTCTAAACTGAAGTGAAATGGAGAGTTTCATGGAGGTAGGCCTAGGCCCAAATGAGGGCTGTAGTGCCAATGGAAAAAAAATACATGGCAGTGAGTGGGTTTTGTTCCAACTCGGAATGTGTGTGTTGTTTTGTGTTCAGTAATCTTTTATGAGTCACTTCACTTCACTTGAAGTCATTTAAGCATTATTTACAAAGCAGAAAAGAACACTTTATGTTGAAGTCATGTCTGCCCCTCTGTTTATGGGCTATTTTCAGCATGTAAAAGCAATGGAAAGATTTTCTAAAACCTTTTGGGCTTTTCCAATTTTCAGCTATATTGATCCAAAATAAGACATGGTTTACATAAGGCCATGGAGTTAAGATAGCTCAATTGGTACAGTAATGGGTTATGGGCTGGACAGCTGGGGTTCCGTTCCCAGCAGGGGCAAGTGGTCAGTGGGTACTGGGGGCTGTCTTTCTTTCCTCCCTTTTCAATTAATGATTCATATGTGTGTGTGTGTGTGTGTGTGTGAGTGTGTGTATATATATATGTATATATATATATATATTGTCACGTGTTGCCTATGCAGTGCGACAAATAACTTCAAATAACTTCAAGCTGTCAAGGGTGTAGCGGATATTTATTGTACTTTGCCTCTACACTCACACACTTTACAAGTATTATCACTTGCAGTATCACAATTACTGCTTCCACTATATCTCGGCGAATACTAGGCTGCTGTGGGCGGTGGCTTTCTTAAGACTCCAACTTATACTGAATGCACAATCCTTGTAACTCATACCTCATACTCATACTGCATACTCAGTAGTTGTACTCAATACTCATACTCGAGCCTCAGTCCTTTTTCCTCACTGAACAGTGTTCCTGCTCCTTATATAGCCTCAGCACGGACCACATAGAGAACATATTGCTGCTTGGCAACATATATGAATTATTGTTGTCAGGTGTGTCTACCTACGCATTGCCTAGCAACAGATGCTCCACTGTTGCGTGACGTCACAGCCTAAGGGGAGGGGTGTTTACTGAACGTTGTTACGCAGTGAACACTTGTTGCTACGGATATTCCTACGCAATGGTCTCAACAATTTCCATTGTTTTGTTGCTCAGCGATGGAAGACGTATAACACGCCACAGTGTATATATATATATATATATATGTGCACACACACATTGCAGTTTCAAAATTATGGACCCGATTTTAAATTGCTATATATCTGCAACCGCAAACCATCCATGAATGAAACTCTTAGCACTTGAAAGGGTGGGGGATAGTTTCAAAAGATTACTTCCAGATGCCTCTCCCAGCATACGCACAGTCCATGGCCTGTCATTGGCAAGATGGCGACACCACAACACAAATCGTTCTGTATTCTGCAATTCAGCAAGACCGGATCCATAAGTGCAGTGCAGCATGCATTTCAACGGCTTTTTGGCATTGATCCTCCAGAGCCAAAGATTATTTGTCATTGGTGCCTACCATTTGAGTAGACAGGCTGTGTCTGTAAGGGGAAGAGCAGAGGGGGACCATGCACTTCAGAGGAAAATGTGAGAAGAATTCAAGAGAGTTTTGTGCGTTGCCTGTGAAAGTCCACTCATTGAGCCAGCCAAGAACAGCTTCTTACGACTTTTTATTTTTAGTGATGAAACATTTCATATAAGTGGTAAAGTTAACCGCCACAGTGTATGCATACAGGGAACACAGGATCCAAGGGAAACTGTAGAACATGAGCATGATTCCCCAAAGGTGAACGTTTTTTGTGCCATTTTTCAAACAAAGGGTTATGTTCCTTTTTCGAAAGGGCGACTGTATCTCAAAATGCTGTGAGAATGGCTCTTTCCACAACTTAAGGCAGATTATGATGACTTCATTTTTCAGCAAGATGGGGCACCGCCACATTGGTATCAGCAGATTTGGGATTTCATAACTGCATCACTGCCTCAACATCGGATAGGGTGCATGGGGCCCCAAGACTTGGCACTACAGTTTTGGTCCCCAAGATCTCCAGACATGACACCCTTCGACTTTTTCTTGTGGGGATATGTCAAAGTCGGTGTTTTTGTGCCACCATTAGCGACTAACCTGGATGACCTCAAAAACAGAATAGCGGCAGTGGTGACTTCAGTGGAAGAAGACACTTTGAAAGGCATTTGGGATGAATTCAGCTATCGTCTCGACGTCCATGCAGCAGGTGGAGGGCATATAGAGCATTTATAAAAGAAGTTAATGAAACTTAATAACTTGTTAGACCTTTCCTGTAATTGAAGCATGTTGCCATCATGAAATATATGGCTCTGAAATTGGGTCCATCATTTTGAAACATGCTGTATTGTAGTATATAGACCCATTGCTAAGCGCTGACTTTGTAAACAGTGACCGTTTCTGGGCAACGGCTTGATAATCACATTCTCATTCTTAATAGTTTGCATCCTGTAGCTGTATCCAATTATTATGCAGTTCACTGGCAAATTATAAGTCGACACGTAGCAGTCGCAGAGCCTTGCCACTAATACACAATTTTTAACTTTTATCATCTTAATCTTCAGCATTTGGTTTTTAATTTCTCATGTTTTTAATTTTAACGTTTTTAGGTTATAATTTTAATTGGGTTATTTAAGTACATTCAGTTAAAATTTTGACCAAGACTTATTTTATATATATTGTGGCGTGTTTTGTTGTCACGCTACAAATAACTTCACGCGTAGGTCCTTTGATATAGCGAGTTTATTCCTTTCGCTCACTTACACACACTTTACAGACATTTACACTTGCAGTGTTGCAATCACTGCTCACAATATTCCGGCCGACACTGGACTGGCTTCTCTGGCGGTTATTCCAAGACTGCCTCCTTTGAAGGCTATTCCAAGACTTTCTTCTCCGAAGGCTGATCCGAGACTGGCTTCTTAGATGGCTCGACGAAGACTGGGCTTTTATAACCTTGGCCGCTGCTAGGCAAATGAATCCTCTGTTATAGCAGTGGAAACGTTGCATTGTTGGTTCCATGTTTCCTACGCAATAACCCATTGTTATAACCATGGAGACTCCTGTTAGAACTACAATGGAGCAATTGTTTCCAATGCAACAGTCTATTCTAGCGTTTCCATAGCAGTGACTCTTCTGGATTGCAAACACGTTACAATATTTATGCATTTGAATTAAGTCCAAAACACAATAAGGATTCTTATTTAGAGAACTGAATGAGAATTGGATGCAGTTCAGCAGCTTAAAGCTGAACACTGTATGCATGATAATGGCCTGATATAAGGGCCAAAACATGTCGTGTCCATAAAAGCTTTAATAAAACAAATGTTGATACAGTAGTGTCTTCTTTGTTTTAAAATACAATGTGTTGTTGTGTAGACGGTATATTCTTGTATGCATTCTCATTGCTAGGCAGGAGATTCTTAATAATGCAACAGTTAAATTACAACAATGGAAAAGGTGTGTTTTCTGCGTGCTTCATGCCAAGATATTAGCAAGGGACAAAGTAATTAGATAGTCAGTTGTAAGGGAATCTCTGAAGGGAAAACTTGGTCAGTGCAGTTGAAGAATCTCAACTGTTAGAAGCTGTTGCCAGGGAACGGATGGTGAAGACATAGCAACCTGGAAAAGGCTGAGCGGGTGCTGTTATGATTTAAGAATTGTGGAGATCAGCAGCAGCACTGTAATTGCTTGTAGTTCCGAGTCGTGTGTATAAGTGGCCAGTAAATCCATTCACCAATCCAAACTCCATCTATAGTCACACATACTATGTGTCAATATTTTTTTGTATTATTTAGATTTAATCTGCCTTAGCCCTTGTACAAACTCATCTTAATTTAAATTTTACAGCAATAGGAAATGCGGTGGCTGATTGGAAATTAAAGAAGGAGATGTCCCATCATGGAGAAGCTGAAGGCTTGGGTCAGCCACAGGAAGAGGAAGAGGAGAATATTTATGCTGTGGCACCAGAACCAGATGTAAGAGAGTGCTGTGTGTCTGGCATCTTGCCTGCAGAATATTGGAAAATACTAAGGGCGTTCCGTATATAATGCCTCCTATTTTTTTTAAAGAAAACTACAACAGATACAGAAATCATAATAATGCAGTTAAATAGAGCAAGATTTCAGCTACTTACAGCTATTTTTCCACATAATCACCACCATTCGTTATGCACTTTTGCCATCGATGAACAAGAGCCTGTATGCCGAGCCCGTAAAAGTCTACACCAGCAGAGGCTAGCCACTTTCTTACAGCTGCAATGACAGCATTGTTGTCTGGAAAATGTTGCCCACGTAGTCCGTCTTTCATAGGCCCAAAGAGATGGAAGTCTGAAGGTGCTAAATCGCGGCTATAAGGTGGATGTGGTAGGACAGTCCAGCCAAACTTTGCAATGTGCGCGGTGGTCGCCAAACTGGTATGGGGTCTAGCGTTATCGTGTTGCAAGTGAAAGGTTGTCTGTTTCTCTGGCCTGACTCAGGAAATACGGGCTTTCAGCTTAGTTAGCGTCGTCTTGTAGCAGAATTGACAGTCCCTGGTCGTTATCTGCTGATCTGTTCGGATGAGGCGCTGTTCATTGTGAGGAGTGGCAGCTGAGCAGGGACGCCCATGGCGTGGCTTGTCGTGCATTTCACTTTCGCCACTGTTGAAGCGCACTACCCACCGAATCACTGTGCTGACATCCACTGTATTGTCTCCGTACACCTTTAGCAAGTGTCGATGGATGTCAATGGGTACAATTTGTTCGGCAGTGAGAAATTCAATAACACATTTCTCTTTCATATGCACTTCTATGTCAGACACCATTTTGGTAGACTGCTCTGCTATCGCTATCTGTCACATGACAACCAAATTAACAGTACATTGGCGGGAAGGTTCAACTTTTACTACAACACCACCAACATCCAGCTCAGACATTACATATTAACACAAAAAAATGGGAGGCATTATATACGGAACGCACCGCGTGCAAAGCTAGTTGTGGGCCAGTTTCTGCGGTTTTGTTACCCACTAGCATATATGATGTTATAGTATCTTTATCTGTTATAGTAAAATTCCTTGCTCTGTATACATAAGGAATTCTGGATGACAGACATTTCTCTATGACATTCCGTAGGGTTACTACAAGAAAAACATGCTTTGCTGTCAATTTCGTTATAAGTAATTATTAACTTTTAATTTGTCTATTAGTCTGATGAAGATGAAAAGCAGACATCAGAAGAATTACTGCAGCCGAAGTTCATAGCACATGTTCCAGTCCCATCACAGCGGGAAGTAGAAGAGGCACTACTGAGGCGTAAAAAACAGGAACTTATAGAGAAATATGCTAGCGAAAGCTTAATCAGTCAGTCAGAAGAAGTTAAAGACTTGCTAGGAGTTCATACATTAAAACAGTTACTGACAAACTGATGTACCAAGAAGAATTATATGGGAAAATGTATTGGTAAGATCTTCTATTTAATGTATGTATGAACTTGTTCCACTTGGTTGCATACAATTTATGACCGATACAATGTGTCACATCTTTCTTTTGGAAAAGCATGGGTGATTACAACGAAGATATGCCAACTACCACACCATGAGGCAGATGTCTGTTATGGCATCACAGGCTCAGTTACTTAAGGACAGGAAGTGTCTAGGTATCAAGCAAGAATAAGAAATAAAATGTTTAAGTGCTAGGCAGTGACATGTGGTAGAACCTGATGACTGAAATTGTGTTGATTGTGCAAGTATTGTACAGTAGTGTTAATCCTCTTTTTCCTAATTTTCTTTTGTCTGGAAAGAAGGATGCTTAACATGTGGATTTAGTAGTTACTATAGGATTCTGACGATGGTGTATAACACACTGATATGTTGGGATTTTGGACTTTATCCATCGTCCTGGTTTTTAAGATAACAAATAAAAACACGACGTTTCGGAAACTGGATCTGTTTCCGTCCTCAGGTGAAGGAAAACACCTATTCAGTTGGGTCCCTTAGAAAGAGCTAGCCTGGTCCAGTGATTGAGGCTAGCTCTTTCTAAGGGACCCAGCTGAATAGGTGTTTTCCTTCACCTGAGGACGGAAACAGATCCAGTTTCCGAAACGTCGTGTTTTTATTTGTTATCTTAAAAACCAGGACGATGGACAAAGTCCAAAATCCCAACATATCAATGTGGATTTAGGTTAAAATGAACCTAAGAATCACTATTTGTGCCAGTAATGAATTTTCATTTTTCAAAAATGATTGGTGACTGTGAAGTGTCAGTGGGTGACAAAATAGTGTACTCCGTTTCTTTAATAATTCCTCAGAAGTGTAATTGTATGGTGTAGCTCTTGTGCATGTGTGAGCATGCATGTGGAGGGGATGAAGAAAGATACAGTTGTTTAGAGATCATAATACTTCAGTAATGCAGATAATGATATTACATACAAGGAAGTGGGAGCTGGGATAGCACAATCTGTATAGCATTTGGCTGTGGGCTAGACAACAAAGGGGTCATAGTTAAAGAGTCCCATTAGGGATACAATATTTCTCTTCTCAGTGTCATCCAGAACAGTTTTTGTGCCAACCCAGCCTCTTATCCAATTGCTACCAGTGGCTCTTTACCCAGGGGTTAAAGTGACTGAGGCATGAAGCTGACCACTCACCTCCAACTTGTGCCAAGGTTAAAATGTGGCATAATGCTTATTTAGTTAAGCATTGGGACTTTACCTTTATACCATATAAGAAAATATTTTCACAAACCAATATAATATGTTCAAAATAGCCTCATGTCAAAAATAAGAAATGAATGAAATCTAGGGCAGTAACTTTTGTTCACTTTAATTGTTTCTTGCATCCTGTTGTGTATTTATTCAATATTAGAGTCAATTTTACCGACCACACAACATATTTTTATTATTAGTACACTACATGTTTCGACCTCAGGAGGTCCTCACGACAAGGACCGTAATCCAGCAACATCAGAGGACGCGGAAGAACAGCGAAACCTCCAAAAAGTGAAAAGTGCAACCAGTATAATAAAATTGAACTTTAATTCATGAACTTTTAACCAATAATATAAATAAACTAGTTAAAGTGAACTTGATGCAGTGATGAGTGTAAGTAGGAAGTGACTGAATAACAAGTGAAAGTGAAAGCATAACTAGTGATCTGAATTGAAATTCGATTCACAAATTTTAAATTTTAACTTTTGACATTTAGAATAATATTTTAACTTGTGTTTTGTGAGAGGAGCTTGATATATTATTGAGTGTGGACCTGAATAAGATACAGGATCGAATAAGTGAGAAGACGAATGTGATTGCGTGTAATTATACAGCTGTGTTCGTACACCTGAGGATAACCTCCGAAACATGTAGTGTAATAATAATAAAAATATTTTGTGTGGTCGGTAAAATTGACTCTAATATTAACTTTTGTTCACTTGAAAATAAAATGTTCAGGCATTTTGACCATTTTCTGTCTCAGAATGAAATCCCTAAAAACATTTTAAATTAGGTGTGATGGGAAGAGAAATGCGTTGCATGCAAATGTCACAGCACTGAATGTCTGCTATATAAAAGTACCACTGCCGACCACGAACTTTCTAATGGGTGTCGTTTCTCATCATTACGAGCACATCACATTTGGCCCGCTGTTTCTTGGAGCACCCATTTATTTTCATTATGGAGAATTTGTTTGTTCCTGGTGGATGTTAAGAAAACACCACCTCTAACAATTCTTCCATTATCATGGCAGTTGCCATGTGATAGACTGGATGTCATTTATGTGAGAATGTGTTTACCAACTATTTATTTGAAATGGGTGTTTCTTTATCTGCCTTTTGCATAGCAGCCCATTGCCCAGCAAAGGGCCTATATGCCACAATAGACATCAGAACACAAGAGGCTACAGAAAGAAAACAGAAGTTCTCAAAATTGCATATACTTCTATATGTGATTGTTTCATAACAGTAGTTTCTTTGAAGTGTAATGAAGGGATGACTGTAACTTTCTCTTCCAGTATACTCAGTGGGGCCCCTTTGCTGTATGAGACACTTAGAGGAAGAAGGCAAGACTCTGCCTTTGGAAATTAGGCTGTTGGCTGTCTCTGTCTAATTTCAGTTTGAATTCTGGACTGTAATCCTGCACTGTGTTGCAGTTTGACCTTCATATTGATCACATGATGGAATCCATGGAATTATTCCAGAATCATGGCCTATGATGCAGCCAACTTGTGATCTGTGTACTCTATACTCGCCTTTTATGTAACATCAACCCCCCTGAGTCAACGTTGACAGAAATGTTCTTGCAGTTCAGAATGCCTTCCAGGAGGTCGATGACCCTGCTGCCAAAGAGATTTGTGCATTTGGATTTATTTTGTTTGGAAATATGCTTCATTAATTTTGGCTCAATACCGTCTATGATTAAGAGTATCCACTTGTCCAGAAGAGTTGGCACCACACACGCATCCACATCTTTTTTTCTCTGCTTCAATCTCACAAGTCTCAGAATTCGGTGGACCTCATCAGTGATTTTCCCTGCAAAGAAGGCCCTGGTATAACAAATGTTCGGAGGCACTTCACTGAGGGACAGGAATCGGTAACTTACAGCCCTAGGGAAGCAGATTTGGCTGCAAACGATGTTGAGCAGTCCACAGCAGTGAACTAGTGTCAGTTGGTTCTTGGAGCTGGAGCTTCAGGACCAGTTGATCCATTTTCTGCTGTCCCAGTTGAACTGGTCCCACTCTGCAGGGTCTTCTGAGGGAGTGTATTCTCCACCTTTACAACAGCAGCCAGCTAACTTTCAACACACTTTTTAAGATGAACGAACTGTCTATTGAGAATACGGTTTCCAGTGCCTTGGAACTGTGGACACACTTGACGCACTCTTGAGATTTCATGGTAGCTGAGCTTCAACAGGATACACTCCAGGAGTTCACAGGGAATGTGTTATCTTATTTTCAGTGTTTTGTTGTGATATAGGCCCGTCATCCTGTGATTCGTTACATGCAGCTGTTTGAACATTACTTCCATGTCACTGGACTCATTGAGATGCATCTTCTTGGTTGGCCATTCACTGTATAATGAATTGGCGTTAGGAGGCCGCTGCATTATTGTTTCCACTTCTCTAGTCAAGTAATCAAATCCTTTCCAGTGTGTAGATTCTTTAGCTTCTTATTTTATGCACAACAATGTGTCGATAACAAACTATCAACTTCTCTCAATCTTCTCTCCCTTTAAAAGTACTTTCTTAAATAAAATTACACCTTGATACCCATTTAAATATGTCTTCACTCCAACACATCCACTTTTCTACACAACTTATAAATCACTATAGTGTCAGGTCAGACTGAAAGTTACTTTACGACTGGCAGTTTAATGCCAATCAGGCCACCAGAAGTAAAACAAAGCAGAGAAGACTAAATGTTTTAGAAGTGTCTGGATATTGTAATGTGGCACTTTGACATTTATTGCTGTTTGATTTGTTGTAGAGTACTTATATACAAGTGCTCTGGCAGCACTCAAGCTGTGAAATTTGTGGAATAGCAGTTATGTTTCCAAGAGTGACTTCTGCTCAGAAGTTTTACATGACTGAACTATGTTTGTTATGTATTCACTTTGGTTTGTTAAAATCATCCAATTATAGACGTGTTCTTGTTTTGATTATGTTGTCTGATTTGAATTATCCAATAAATGAGGTTATGCTCTTACAAGGAAGCCTTTGAGAATACACTCGATATCATGGCTTCATTTGAAATAGACGTATTTCCATTAAGTTCTGCTCAAACTTCAAATTACTAACTTGTATAGCCATTTGGTTCCTCAAAGTTCATATCTCTGGCAAGTTGAATTTGCATGTTAGTATCAGCAAGCGTTACATAAATAAAATTAATAAAGAAACTTTGGAACAGAAATGTTGTATAAACATATATAATGCTGAAAGTATCCATGTTAGGTGGGTCCCTTGTCATCCCCAGGTTGTGGATGGAGGAGATGGCCTCCAGATATGGAGAGTAGCTGTGAATATATTGAGTAAGCAGTCATGGACAGCCAACAAGGAGTAGTCCTCCACTCTGGGGTTTGGGCTTGGGGCTAACAACTCATTCACAGTAAAAAATACGCTTGCTATGAAATGTTACAAAGGGCCATGGACCTGGATGGATTCTTTTGATAAACAATCTAAGGTAAGAAAAATATACATTAAATTTGGTATGTGGAATGTAAGAAGTATGTGTAGGGAAGGTTCCTTCATGACAGTTGTGAAAAAAATATCAAAATATAAATTAAATAGGACAGGTGGCACAAAACCAGCAGGCAAATATACATTTTTGTATGGAAAGGGAAATGAGAATCGTGAATTAGGTAGTGGAACCTCGCTTAATGAGCACCTCATAACGAGTGATTAGCGTAACGAGCAAAACAAATCATAGAAAAATGACTCGCTTAACGAGTGACAAGAGGGGAAGTCCCGGATTGTGCTCTTGCTACATCAGTCTGTGTTTAGCACTCGTTCCGCTAGCATCTTAGTGTCGCTTGTGATCACACATTTCCAAACTTTTGTTCAGACATATTATTTGTGCAAAGTTTAATAACCCATGGATATATCACTTCCACATCGTTGCGTGCCTCAAGATGATCGAAAAGGCATGGGAATGAGTTACCAGGAGAACCCTCACTTCCTCTTGGAAGAGGCTTTGGCTGGAGAGTGTTGTCGAATGTGACTTTGAGGGGTTTGAGATAGTACCCGTGGAGCCTGTAGTCAACGAGATTGTGTCTTTGGCCAAGATCATGGGGCTGGAGGTGGATGATAATGATATCGATGAGCTTGTGGAAGAGCACAGCCAAGAGCTGACCACCAAAGAGCTTCTGGAGTTGCATTGTGTTTCACAGGAAGAAGTTGTGGAGGAGAGTTTGTCAGAGGAGAAGGAGGAGGTAACAGCAAAGCAACAATCTTCTGGTGCAATAAGAGAAATGCTGAAAGCATGGGAAACTGTTGCATCGTATATTGAGAAGCATCACCCTAATAAGGCAGTGGCTATGTGCGCTACAAATTTATTTAATGATAATGCTGTGTCGCATTTTCACCAAATTTTAAAGTGTCGGCAAAAACAAATGTTTCTAGACAGCTTTCTACGAAAAGAGAATTAGATATGTATCATAAATAATAAACTAATTATTTCAATTTGTTTTCTGCAAATCGAATTCACATTCCAGATTGGTTCATTCTGCATAGAAGAAAAGATGAAGATGATTCACGCTCCTTAACAAAAAGGTTAAAAGGTAGAGTTTATTAGTTATAGGATATCATACATAATACTAAGAGCTCATTGGTGTAATATCATCATTCTGAATGTTCATACCCCAAAAGAGGATGCAAAACTATAATTTTGTCTGTGATTGTGTATGGGTGTGAAACTTGGTCTCTGACATTAAGGGAGAAACATAGATTGCAAATGTCTGAAAATGGTGCTGAGGAGAATATTTGGACCGAAGAGGGATGAAGTGACAGGAGGTTGGAGAACACTGCACAATGAGCAGCTTCATAACTTGTACTCTTCGTCAAGTATAAATTAGAACCATCAAATCAACGAGGATATGATGAGCATGAATGGGGGAAGAAAAATGCATATAGGATATTGTTGGGAAAGCCAGAAGGAAAGAGATCATTAGGAAGACCAAGACATTGGTGAGTGGTAAATTGAAAATATTCGAGAGATAGGATGGGATGGGATGGTATGGACTGGATTGATCTGGCTCTGTATAGGGACCAGTCGAGGGCTCTTGTAAACACAGTAATGAACCCTCAGGTTCCATAAAATGCTGGGAAGTTCTAAAGTAGCTGCAAAACTGGCGGCTTCTCGAAAAGGGCTCAATTCCATGAAGTTAGTTTAGTTAATGCTTAACTTCCTCAGTCTTACTCATGTTGCATTGCCGTCTCTTCAATTTGCGCTGCTACCTTCACTAAAACATGTTCAACTCAGGCTAACAATTTCAATCCTGCCCGTATTTTCTAAAATTCTTGAAACATTAATGTATAACAGAGTTGTGTGTTTCTTAAATAAATCCACCTTGCAGTGACTGTGATGAGTGATAAGCGATGAGTTTGAGAAGACGTCAGAACTGTGGAAATTACTGCGATAGTGGTGGTGTTCACACGCTCAGCTGATCGAAACAAATTAGATAGATGAGGTGCATATGTGAAAGTGTTAGTGATCCAAAACTTGCGATACTACAAGAATTATACTGATCTATATATGTTACATGTGCCGACCACCAGAGTAACTCCATATTATGTATCAAAGAGGCCGTAGAAATAGACACGGGGTAACAGTGATACATCTGTAGGAAACTTGTCGGCCATAACGACAACGCCATAGAATGTGAAGGCTGCAAAAGATGGCAGTACTACGAATACACTGGAATGACCAAAGGAGAATTCAAAATTGTAAAGCAAAAAAACCGCAAGCTAACATGGCCCTGTATTGACTGTAAACCTCGTCTACTAAAGAACCAGGACACGGAAGGCCAGAAACTTGATACACTTACCGGGAAAATTCAGAGAATCCTGGAATTCGTGGGAAATGACCTAGAAAGGAAAATTAGAAAGGGGATAGCAAGCACGCTTCTGAAAGAACTAATGAATACCTTGTCAAGACCAACAGTGATCAAAGAACAGTCACCGAGTCGGAGAGCAGTCACCAAAACGACATCACAGCAGTTCTCAGCAGATTCGCAGAAGGAAAAATCGAAAACAAAAGAAACGGATGGAAAAGCCAGCCCTTCCCCTACGCCAAACAACAAGGGCAACACGGAAGAGCACACAGGTGAGGAGCAATAACACTCAGGATATAGTGGACAATGGATTGCCAACCAGAGGAGGAGAGGAAGAGCACCGAGAGAAAGCAGAGATTAAAACCGCCAACATACAAGGGGAAATGTAGTGATTGGCCACGGCCAGAATCCTGAATCCCAACTACAGGCAGCCATAAGGTAAGCCTGGATCTACATAGGTCAACTGAAAGTAGAACAGAACCAGAGACGGTAACAAATTTTCTGCAGACAAAAGGCATAGAGGGAGAGCCTTTTCTCAGTTACTAACAATGTATCAGAAGTCCAGTGCAGGATGTTGGAAGAGTTTGGACCGCCAGCAGTCCACAGGGACACAATCATCTGAATAAACAGTTTGATGAAACTGCCAGTGGTTTGAATCCCAAGCATCCTGGTCAGCCGAGAACTGTCCGAACTGCTGACACACAAGCATGTGTTGCTGTGGAACTGGCATCATCTCAGAAATCGAAGTCTACCCGCCGTTTGTCAGCCCTACTGGACATTTCGAGGACAAGTTTGCGGAGAGTTTTGAGTGACATGAAGCTGACACCATACCATCCACGGCTTATTCATGTTCTTAACGAGGATGACTTCGACAGGCGACTTGAGTTTGCCGAGTTGATGCTGACCAAGTTTCAGGAGAACCCTGACCTTATCTGGAATATTGTCTGGACTAATGAGACCAAATTTCACACATCAGGATCGGTCAACAGAAACAACTGCGTGTTTTGGCGGCCAGAGAACCCCAGTGCCACCATTGAATACGATTTCCAGTCCCCGGGAGTGATGGTGTTGGGCGGCGAGATGTACGAAGGACTGATTGGCCCGTTCTTCCTTGCAGGTTGTGTCACGGGGGAAACCTACATAAAGTTGCTGAGGGAAAGTGTCATCCCAGAACTTCAGAGGAGAGAGAACTTTGATGAACTGTGGTGGCAGCAAGATGGGGCCCCACCACACTTTGCCAATATTGTTCGGGCATTCTTGCATCAAGTTTTTCCTCAACGCTGGATTGGCCATCGAGGGCCTGTGGAGTGGCCAGCCCGATCACCCGACATCACCCCACCAGACTTTTTCCTTTGGGGTTACCTCAAAGACAAGGTGTACGCTAATCCCATTAACAGTGTGAAACATCTACGTGAGGTGATTGTTCAGGATTTCAATAAAGTTCCGGTGAATATGTGTAGAAAGGCGTGTGAAAATGTTGCTTTGCGTCTGCAAGCCTGTGTTGACTTAGGTGGTGCCCAGGTTGACCAGCATCTTGAAAATCGATGACTTATGTGTGTGCAATTCCATTTTTGTAACCATTGCAATTGTTAACATTTATCAATAAAAATAACATCTAATCCAAAACTGCCTAATTGAGTCTGGCCTACCCTGTACACTCCATTCTACCATAACACCATGGTATGAGACCGTTTCTTACACATTTTGAGATTCCTACATTTTGAAAATAATGAAACTCCTCCAAATCAAGATGACCCAGGGTATGATAGGCTCTGGAAAATTAGAAAGATTTTTGATTATCCGAACAACAAATTTTGTGAACTTTATAATCCATCAGAACATCTTGCTGTTGATGAAGTCATAGTGCTCTTCAAAGGAAGAGTGATTTTTCATCAGTATATTCCAAAGAAACGCAAAAGATTTGGTATAAAAATTTACAAGCTTTGCGATTTTCTTGGCTATACTTATGACATGACAGTTTATTTAGGCAAACAAAGGCAACTTGCAACAGAAGAAATTACATCAACACATGGCATTGTTCTCCAGCTAATTCGAAGAGTAGAAGGCTTGGACACAAAAGTTACATGGACAATTATTTCAGTTATCCTGCATTATCTGATGATCTTTTAGACAGGAAAATAAATTTGTGTGGCACCGTTTGCAATGATAGGCATGGAATGCCACAAGAAATTTGGCCCAAGTCAATGAAATTGAGAAAAGGGGATATTGTTACAAGAGTCGAGGGACATCTAAGTGTTGTTCATTGGGAAAACAAGTGTGATGTGTATGTTCTGATGAATATGCACCCTCCTCTATTGGATGGCAACTTCCAAGATGAATCTGGCCATGCTGTCAAACCCCATGTAATTGAAGACTACAATGCACACATGGGCTTTGTGGATAAATCTGACAGGATGGTAAACAGTTATGTCATTGCTCGGATGACATGGAAGTGGACAAAGAAATTGTTTTTCCACACCTATTGTATTGTATTGGAGAGGGTGGGTTTCCCCATGCACTTAGACCAACTGTTGGTCCATTGTGCATCCCCCTATGATATTATACCAGTCTCTATTCCCTACTGGTACTGGTGCGTGCCATCAGTCCCGACTCAGCCAGCAAGTTCGGCCTCTACTGGCTCAGCGGTATCTCGATGCTTCCCCCATCTACAAGAGGCGTTAGAGACTACTGTTGGGCGGGAAATGTCCTGAATTTGGCTCAGTGGTCCCCTTGGGACATGAGGTTCTTTTACGTGCCATAAAGCTACGACACGGGACCCACGGCTTAAAGTCCCTCCTGGAGGACTTGTTCCCTGAATTTTTCCGCCCTTAAAAATTCCATGACCTCCACCGGGTTTGAACCCGTGTACCTTGAGTCACGAGGTGGGAACGTTACCCCTAGACCACGGAGGCCGCTTTTCCACACCTAGATATGACTATTGTAAATTCAGATCTATTACACAAGTCATGTGGTGGAAAAATGACACACAAAAAATTCCGCGAAATATTGGAGTGGGACTTGACTCTTCATTCGCATGAGGCGAATATCACGGTCAGTGGCATTTCTCGGGGGAGGCCAAGTTCAGCTGGGCCCAACTGAGTCGACTGGAGGTGAAACATTCACAACACTGGCCAACCAAAAGGAAACAAAGATGTCGTGTTTGTTCTGAAAATAAGAAAAACCGAAGCAGCACACACTACTATTATAAAAAGTGTGACGTTGGGCTATGCGTGGTGGACTGCTTCGAGAAGTGGCACACGCATCAGAGTGTGAGGTATTGTAAACTGTGAAGTGACACAGTTCAGACTCGCGTACAGTCTGAACAAAATGTTATCCTATATAGTGTGAATATATTTACAATATCACCATGATTCAAGGGTGAATAAAAAAAAACAGGCAAGTCCTTTCGAATTTCATAACATATATAATAATATTTTGCATTTCATGACAAAATAATCACAGTAAATTTTCATTTGTAAAACTTGCTCTTTTGTGTATATGTAGAAAATTTTATTGTCTTTCAGGTTCTTTTTAGTTCATATTTCTATATTGCATAGAACGGAAAATATGCATTTTTTTTCCCGAAAGTTTGCAATGTTAATTAATTAGGGCAATTTAAATTCTGGCTGTACAGGGCTGCTGTCAATTTAAAAGTCCGTTAAGGGTTGAAGTATTAGGTCTTGCTTTCCACACATCAATTATATACCCTGTGATCCTCGCTGATTGTTGCATATATTTGCAGTGCTAAACAAACAGTAAAAGTTATTAAGATATCATTTCTGTAGTTGATTGATTACCATCAGTTTGTTGTTCATGTTGCATAAGTCATATCTGTTATATGAACTTGAGAAATAGTTAAGCGTTTCTGCTGGAGCTAGCCAACATAAATTAACATACAAACTTGCAGTAGGAGAAACATTTAATAAACACCTTTGTGTGAATTAACTGGTGCCAAACTACTGGAAATCAGATGTCATACCCCTTCCCTCACCTACAGTTAGATATATCATACCCTTCCAGTCCATCAGATACAGTGAAGCCGTGTCATTGCATCTACAGTACAACACAAGCACGGTCATGATTTGACCAAATTAAAGCAGTATGTACAGGATGATTCTAAATTATTGTCGGGGTTTCCGTTTATAAGCCACAGTAATTTAAATCACTTTGTAGAACTGCTGAATAGTTAGAGAATATAAATTAAAGCTAATATAATGAACAGGACTTAGCATCTTCAGTGTATGACAGTATATGTAGTCAACATAAGAATCAAATGCAATTTATTGTCTAAGATAACATTACAGGCTTTCACAATCTGAATTTTTAGTGCAAACATCACTTAGAGAGTAAATCAAACGAATTTATATGCAAAAAGTGGTTTCAGTTTTATATATACAGAGTTTAACCACACACTTTTGTACCAGTTTCAACATCTGATTTAATTTAGTCTTCAACAGACTTTATTTCAGTATACATTTAAAGATCATCTGCAAATATAAAAGTTGGAAAGGTAAATTTCAGCTGATAACAGAGGCTGCAATGTCTAAGGCATGAACTATCTTCACCTGCTCAAACACTGGGATTGTGGGTTCAGATCCCACTTGAGTTATGGATGTCTGTATGTGTTTACTCTGTGTTTGTGCAGTCCTGTGTGCCAGCAGTGGACCTGCAACGGGGTGGTCCCCCATCCAATGAGTCATACCAACTGTAAAAGATTAAGAAACTGAAAAAGTGGCCAAGGTCAAACAAAGGGCTGTAGAGCCACAGATGAAGATGAAGGTAAATTTAGCTCAGAGGTCATTAATAAAAATAATTAATAGAAGTACCAATGTAAAGCCTTGTGGTAATTCTCAACAGGCAGACAGCCATTTCTGTTGTATCTAAAATTCTGATAACTTTTAGCAGTATACAGCTGCTTATTTCAGCTGAATAGATGCTTACAACACATCAGATCACTGAGAAACATAACCTAGTTAACTGGAATGTTGCAACTCCAAATGGCTGGACAGTTTCTCTAATGCTGTTTGCAGTGTGGCAAGGTATCTGTCTGACAATAAATGCAGTTCCTTGTTATATACTTTGGTGTCGTCATATGGCATGTGGAAGACATTAGATGGCAGAATTTTCAGCTCATTCATACTCTCTTCAAATTCACGCCAATGTTTATTGCATTTGAAGTATTTCTCCTGTAAAGGAAATCATATGCAAATTGATGTGATAAATGAAATAATGCAAGTTGTGCTGTATACACTTTTAACATTATAGAGCACTGAAGACATGGTACAATGATTGTGAAAAGTAAATAAGGTAAGACAGAAGAACATATTTGAGTGCATTCTTATGGAGAACCTATAATCTCAGTTTGTGATAGATTATTTTGTTGTTTTGATCTGGTATTTCCCAAATATATGGTACTGAGCTAATACAGGGTGAATCGTATAGAACCGGCCTGATGAATTTGCTAATAATTCCGCAGGTGATGCATATAACCGCTCACAATTACGTCACAATAATCCGTGGGCCGTGCCGAGTCGAATGGTGTGCGCATGATCCGGCAAGGACAATGCCGAAACATGTCTGCAGTGGGCAGGCGACAGTCATGGAGTACACTGTTGAAAGCAAGTGTTTCTAATGCCTACTTGAAAATGGCAGACACTTTCAACACCTGCTCTGATCACGGCACACAATCCAAGATGTGATATGTGTAAATTACTTTAATATCTGTAAGGTATATTTTATATTACACCTCATTTTGTCGGGCCGGTCCTGTATGAATCACCCTGTATAAGTAGTTAGTAGTTACTGTATATATACCATCTGCTTTAACACTAAAAACTCAGGTTTGTGCCTACAGAGTATATTTTGTATAATTCCAAAAATAAACAGCAACCATTTTCCTAAATAGCAATAACTGGTTGATGTTTGTAATGAACATGCAATGTGTTTTCTGTGATATAGAAACTGAATTTTTAAATATTATGTGGATTAAGTTTATACTTTAAAGGATTTTAAGGAATTTGTGTGATACTCTCATGGTGATGACTATGAAGGTTGCTTGCTGTCTTCTGGCATATGATGCCATGTAGTCTGATAGATATTACCAATGTTTCAGAAGAATGTGTGGCCTCCATCTGCAGGGTAGAACAGTCACTCTTCTACCTTGAAGCTGGAAGCAGCATGTTCTTCTAAAATATCAGGATATACAGCAGTGTACCCCAGAAGACCACCCATCATTAAGGGATTTAATTTCATACACCATGGCTGTATTAGCACTGTATTGGAACAGAACTCGTGGATCTTTTTACATTTGTGTGTTAATTGTGGCTTATAAATTGGTAAGAACAAAGAAGGATATGGATGTGGGCTACCACAGAATACCAGACTTATTGATATCTTCTGCCACTTCTGCTCTGATCACACCAGCCAGCAATTAGTCTTTCCCACTCCATATTTCACATAGACTCAATTCTAGGGCTGCAGATCATGATTCAGATTTGCCTGAGTTCCAGCAGCCAAATGACAGCGATGATCACTTCCCACTGCCTAATTAACACCAGACAAATTACGCTGATTGAATTACTTATGTTCTTGGTAAAGTTGACCTTTGTCAAAGCAGCCTAATTTTAGGCTGTTTTACCCAGTATTTGACAGTCTATGAAATATATTCAGCACTTTTCTTTTTCCCCCCCTAAAAACTCCCTTGACAAAGCCCTCATGCTTGGTTTCCACCTCATGGCTGAAACAAACAATGCACTGGTAGAAATGAAAGTACTGACACGCATGCCAGTATGTGCAAACTGCACTGAATATACCTCACATATCTCATTGTGAGGCTTCATATATCCCCTCCCCTGGGGGTATACAAGTGGGGGCATGTGAGGTAGCATAGTTGGTTGAGGCACTGTGCTAAAAGCCAGAAGGTTGCGGGTTCAATTTCTGATGAGGTCACTGGATTTTTCAATGGCCCTAGTCCTTCCAGCTGCACCATGGCCCTGAGGTCAACTCAGGCTCTAACAGAAATGAGTATCAGGCTTCTTCCTGGGGGTAAAGGGTGGCCAGTGCCTATCAGTCACAATTCAGGCTTCTTAACATCCTATTATGATGAACTAATTTACTCACAGTATGCTGCACTACACTAGCAATGTTAAATTAAAATACACATAAACCTAACACAATACTAATTATTCGTCTAACAGTTCCACTCCAGACAAGTCACTGTTTTCACCGAGTTCAGTTGTATCATTATCACTGGAGTCACTGTCACTGCTGTCTTCAGAACGTTGGATGATAATTCTTTCTGTAGCATTCTCTCTAATTCCCTCTTTTTCAATATATTCCTTTTCGTTCTTTTCGGTGTGGTCGCAAACTTTTTCCCAGTTCTCTATTCCAAATTCACTGAACCATTTTTCACACTTCTTTGCCACGTGATCCAAATGAAATGAGACATTTTCTGCCCCTACTGACTGCTTAACATCAGCCCAAACGAGTTCAATCAGATTCAAGTCTGGATGATAAGGTGGAAGTCGTAATACTGTGTGTCCATATGGCGCCATTATGTTGTCCATTACAAAGTTTTTGTGGAGGGGTTTATGTGCCTTTATCAGGTCACAGTGCTGAATTTTGGGCATTCTGTCATGAAATGGCACATTGTTCACTGTAAGCCACTGCATCATCTTGCCCTTCGTGGTCTGGCTGGTTGGTGCCTTATTAAACTGCACGTTGTGATATGGGGCATTATCTACAACAAGAACTAATTTGGGAGGCAAATTCGGAATAAGTTTTCTGTTAACCACTTCTGATAATCTGTCATGTTCATTTTGCTATGATAGTCCCCAGTCTTGAGATGAGATTTAAATATCAACAATGCCCTGGGAATGAAGCCGGTTTTGCCTCCCACGTGCACAATAATCAGCCTTTGGCCCTTCAATACGGGTGCCATGTACCCTCATGGAGTATCATGCGTCCAGTTTTTAGGTCTGGTGTGACTGCTGTGAATGAAGGTCTCAGCCTCATAAATTATGGTCCAACCTTCCTTCCTGTACTTCTTTATTACACGCAAATATGCTACTCTCTTCGACCTAATGTCATCCATCTCAATCAAGGTGCCTGTTATTTCGCGTTTTTTTCCATTTAAAACCCATCTTCCATAAAATCAATTTCAGGCTGCTACTACCGCCCTTGAAATTTATGGTTTCCCTGAGTTTTAGAAGTAGTTTCTGCACAGTAGGCACAGTTTCTTCTTCGGTGTAGAAATCATACACAGTCCGTCGAATCACAGAGATATTGAAATCATCTAGATTTGTTATCCGTTTAGATACAGAATGATGTTTACCGGGAGTTCCGAACATAGCACCTTCTTTTTCACATCAAGAACCTTCATTCAGAATTCTCCGTAAACTTCTTTCTGAAACTCCAGTTGACCTTACTACTCTCTCTTGTACCTTTCTTAATGGCATCAATACATGACCTGCAGCCGCTTCACTTTTCATAAATGAATGGATGTTATTTACAAATTCTCGGGTCTGGCTGTGCAATGTTTTGTTACCAAGTTTTGACTTAATAGGTGTCATTTGTTTTCTTTTTAAATGTGTTACTGCCCTAAAAGAAATATATCAATTAAAAACAAGCAACTGGCACGTGGGAAAACAACAGAGTGTCTACTAATAACAGCGATCCTATGAGCTCAACGTCTGCCTTCTTACTGAGGCAACATAGTGTCGCTGTGCATGCTCACCAATCTTAGGCTTGCCAACTTGCATCAGAGATCCACTGGTCAAAATTGGCCGTCCCACCTATAACCCTACCTACACAAAACCATATTATACAGCAGACACTTTTGATTCCATACACGACTCTTTAATACTAAGTATTGAACAAACTTATCAGAATTTCAAGTCAAAACTAGTCTAATCTGTGCTTGGGTGTGCTGATGGGCACACTACATAACTGTTGAAAAGGATTAACAAAATTGTGTGATATCTAAATCAACGTATATAGTTGGGTGTGTTCAGGAAGTCAGCTTCCTTTATTCCCTACCCAAGCCAAGGGCATGCTCTGTTATCTGTTAAATTTGATAGGATGTTGAAACAAATGCAAAAAAGACCTATAACATGTCTCAAGGTGAAGTTTAGCTTTATCAGTATTAACACAGACCTCCTAACACACTTATACTGGAGCATGACAGAGCAACTGTTTTGTGTGCAATATGTTACTGAGTTATACATTACACTTACAGTTTGTTGTGCTTTTTATAACGATATTAGTTTGTACCTGCAGTTCATCTATTGAAAAAATATGTAGAAAGGAAATGGATAATAACATGAGATTCAATATCACATGTACATGCAATAACAACATTAAGGTATGAAATTGTTCTACTGTCATATCTGCTCATTAGATCAAATGCCACATTCAGTCATTTAATTAACGTTAAACAGATTACACTGATGCAGTTATTAATAAACCTATCTGTGTGTGTTTTTTCTTTTGGTCATCAGGAAAACAAATTTTCAAACAAAACCAATATCACTATACTAACATTGGTGTTATTTTAGCATCTGCTACATGTTTTGGATCATCAGGCAGATTCTTAAATACATCACTTGATACTGAATTATCCTAATATGGCTCCATGTTAGTAAGATAAATGTAAAGCTCTGTAATAGGCCGTGAAGGCCCGTAGGGTTGTAAGACATCAAGGCCGTCACATTATCTAGACAGCTGGCTCACAGATGGCAGCAAGGTTGTCGGCCTGACACAATATACAGTAAAACTTGGTTATAGCAACATCGGTTTCTGCGACACCTTGTCTATTGCGTCAAATATTCAATGGTACGAACTAATTCCTCATAAAGCAACTGTTTTTATACCTTGCTTAGTACGACATGCACAAATGCATCAACCTCGTATGTAACGTCATTTTCATTCCTGAATTTCTCTGATATGGACATTGAACGTAATTTAGAAAGTGTGTATTGGGCAAGTAACAGGAAACAGATGAAGATAACTGATTACTGTACTCGTATCTAGGTACAGTAAGGCACAACAATTGATGTAATCTACTGTAATTTGGTGAGTAGGCCTACCTTTAATATACAGTATTAGTGCGGTGTGTACTGTCAGTGAAAAGCGCTGTAATATGTCTTTGATATTACACATTTGGGCAATTCCACGTTAATGTTAGGTTAGTCTGTACTTAACTATGTATTTCACTAAAAAATGCAACATTTTAACTCTGTTTTTGGTAGATTTTTACATGACTAACATAAGGCTACTGTGGAAGTGCCCGTTTCGGTTACAACGACATTCGTTTATAATGACACTATTTTTAGGTCCCTTTGATGACGTTATAACCAAGTTCTATTGTACATTGTTAAGATTATTTTGGAATTCGTAAACCAAGCTGGTTCATGTCATCCCTCTTATTATTTCTTTTGACGGGGGTCGAATGTGTGCCACCTTGTTGTTCTCAAGAAGAGGGTTCTTTAATGTTGTTCTGTATGTGTTTGTGGCCACAACACAATTTCTGCATGGCGCCACATCCCAGAAGACGGCTTTCTTCATAGTCACTGCCATGAAAACCTCAAATCTTACATAACTATAAATATTTTAATGTATTGGAACAGCCGTTGTAGTTGCAAAGACTTTAGATTTTACAGCAAATTGTATATTATTCATATTGTATGTATATATTTTAACTTTTAGAACATGTACTGTAATAGTGGCTTCTAACTGTATTGATGTAAAGGTGTCCCTCTGAAGACCGAAACATGTAAGGGCGTGAATGATTGAAAAAAGAAAATCTTAACCAGTCACAGTGAATGGAACTATTTAACTTTTTTGTAATTTAGAGCTCCTAATAAATTGGCAGTCATGATTAATCAGCATGCCACAGAATGATCATTCTAGGCTTCAACTGTATTAAAATAAACTGCTGTCTGTCTACAGGCATTATGAAGCTTTATGTATTCTCAGTTCTGTACCATGAGTCACAATATGGGAAGGGTCAAGCCAGACATCTAACCCCTGGATTAAAAAAAATCGAAATTTAAAAATGGGGAAATATATCAAATATTAAACACCAAAAATTATTATTATTGTTGTTGTTGTTATTATTATTATTCTATCCTGATTACCTTGGCATGACTTGTAAAAATTGTCTTAACAGCTTAACCCCACCTCCAGAAAATAATCTTGGTAATACCCATGTTCTGCACAAATGTAATGTACTAAAGTGTCTACATAATTTACTTTCCAGGATTTTGAGGTATATGGAGAATTCTTTTACTTTGAAGATGCCAGATATGTTACGATCCGCAACTGCAAAGAGGTTACTCTTCAAACCACGGATATTAATTCCTCAGAACTGGAAGAACTACACTTACATCACATACACACCGTTGTTTTCAACATCTTCCTGCCTTCAAGTACTGACTCATTAAAAATTGAAAATGTTAGCAATCTTACAGGGCTGCACAACCACAGTTTATTACATGTGCAACATCTACGTAACTTGGTGATCAAGAATACAAATGTTCAGCTAATTGACAGCCATACATTTTCAGATATATCTGTGGAAAACATCTATTTCATTAATACGACCTTTAAATATCTTAATACAGGCTCATTGAATTTCACTGGTATGAAAGACAGTCTTAACAATTCAGTGTTTCACATTGAAAGATGTACCTTTGAAAAATTGGATCTGAATGCTATTTCAGTAAAAAGGATTGGTACCTTTCGGATCCTAGAATCAGATTTCAAAGGGATCCTTAAAGAAAACTCCTTTAAAATATCAAGCTCAACAACCTTCTTCAGATCTAACACCTTCACTTGCAGTGAGAGAAAAGATACTTGTAATGATATACAATTTGATATATTAGAAAATTTTTATGGATTTACTCAGCATAATTCTCAGGAGCTGTGCAAATTTCTTCAGACAAACTACTGCAGATCTCATAAGACAAAGGCTATGATAAATTCCTTACAGAGCTGTTATCCCAAACTCCTTAAATATGGAGTCAACAAATCATGCATGCCTCTTGAACCAGACAAAGGTTATAACATTTATCTTAATATCAGCCTTATGTTGGTTTGTAAGCTTGTTCTAAAAATAATGGTCTTTTGAACCATAATGTAGATACATAAAAATTCTGCAAAATTACTTCTCACTGAATTTGAGGTTCTTACAGCAGTGACTATGAAGAGCATTCTCTCCTGGGCTGTGACACCATGTAGTCCAATAGAAGTCAACTGCCGTTTAGGAGGATCATACCACCTCCATTTTTACAGTGGCAAAGAGTAATCCAAGCAAGTAAGGTTACTTCTTTGGCTTACTTGTCCACCATGAAGATAGGAGAAGGTTAAAGTAAAGAAAAGGTAAAGCTATCCCTTTAACAGGCTGTGAAGGCCCATAGGGTTGTGAGACATCGAGGCTTCCAAATTTTCTAGACAGTTGGCTCATAGATGACAGTGTGGTCATCAGCCTTACATGCAGGCTGCCTTTTACCCCCAGAAAGATTCCTGGTAGTCATTTCTGATAGAGGCTGAGTCAACCCCAGGGCCATAGTGCGGTTGGAAGGATTAGCTGAAGATACTGGTGAACTTCCATTAGCCTACATAGTGTCACATCCCAGAATACAGTATTCTTCTCACTTCTCATTCTTTTCTCAAAATTTTTCATAGGAATGTAATTGGAAAATAGATATGAAATCTCTTTAATCTCTGTAGAATAAAATTACCCAGTGATGAAAGAGATGGAATGAAGAAAGACTTCTTGAAAGAAGTAAATATCTTTGTAAAATTTGATGATTTCACAGTGAATAAATGCACTAAAATCTCCCCAGGCAATCAGCTGTATTAAAGTTGAGTTACAAATCAGAGTTTCTAAGACCTGCTCTGTCTCCATCATGGAGATTGACGTGGGGGCTATGTTTGGCAACAGGAGAGCAAAGGCAGTTTTAGTATTTAGTAATATGTATGCCTGCTTTGGATCTAAAATGGGCTGACACATCAGCCACAAATGCTAATTTTCCATATATTAATAATATGAAGGTGATTCAGAAAGTTTCCATGCTTCCTTCCCCACCAAATTGTATTTAATATGGAATGTTACAAGTGGGTCACTTTTCTACATAGTCTTCTTGTGTCTGAGTGCATTTTGTATGACAGTCCACAAGCTTTCTGATGCCATCAGAAAAGAACTGTTTGGGCCAAGTGTGAAGCCAGTCCTTCCTATGCCTCATCATCATCTGCAAATCTGTGACCTCCAAACCCCCTCTTTAAAGGTCCAAGGAGATGGAAATCCAAAGATGCAGGGTCGGAACTGTAGGCTGGATGGTTGAGAACTTCAAATTTCAGCTCCTGAAAGGTTTTCCTGGTATGAACGGTAGTACGAAGTAAAGCACTGTTGTGTGCAAGATGAGAACATCTTCCAGTAACCTTCTTCATTTTGTGCAAATGGCTGGCCTTGGTTCACAGTGTCAGAGTACCTTGCGCTTGCTACTGTGGGTGGGTGTCCCAAGCATTCTGAAGCAGTTACGCTTGTTCCGCCTTTCATAAACATGTCTATCCATGTGTACACACCCCATCAATGTAGTGCATTGTCCCTGTGTTGAGCACATACATGTATGTGAATTTCAGCCCTTTCAACACATTCTTCCCATAAAAATAAACCATATCCCTCTGGTCTCCTTTCATGCAAAATGAAAAGTGGTGCAGCCATCTTCCCTGCTTCTCCACAGCTTACTCACTGCATCCAAGGCCATGCCAAGCAGTGTAATGACATGTCATCTCACAAGGTCAGTGCTGCCAATTGTCATCAGGCCATCTTGTATATTCTCAGACAGGAGCAGAAGTGAGGATAGTTTTTGAATCCCCCATGTATAAAATGGATCCTAGATAAACTGGTTGGAAGATGTGGACAGGGCCCTATGGTGGACTTCTATCAACATGGTGAATCTTTGAGTTCATTAAAGTAAGATGTTTTGAGAGGCTGTTGAGGAATGTTATGTTTCCTTTCTGCTTTGGGTTATTTACTAAACTGAAGTTAACTGAATATGGGAAAATAATACACTCTTTATGTTGGATTTTGGCTGTGGACCAGAAAATGTATTCATTAAATTAGGATTTCACTATAGCCATAGTTCTACTGATATTACACCCAAACCGGCACAATAACAAACCATAATCTTTAGCAGTGACATAATATGTTCATGTTTACATTTATTCTCTTTATTGACAAAACACATTTCATTTACCAAAACACTCTAGTACTGCTTCTTGGAATGACCCGATATAAAAAATTATTGATTTCAAATATAAAGCCATCACTGATATAATTCAAGAATTATATTAAAAATATCTTTAAGTATTTCTGGAATAATCAGAGTGTGTACATGGATCCCTTGGGTGGGACCCATACTCCAGTGAATTGTTAATACTAAAAAATAAAAAATAAAGAGGTAAAGATGTGCCTGTGCTTAACTAATTAAGCACTATGCCATGGAGATATATGGGGCAGTGGATGTATACACCCACATTTTCCTGACATCGGCACTAGCTGGAGGCAAGTGGTTAGTTTCACACCCTGGAGAAGAGCCCCAGGTACCCACTGGATATGAGGCTGGGTGAACCTCAGAGCTGTTCTGGACGATGAGAAGTGCAATTTCTTGACCCTACCAGGACTTGAACTCCGACCTCTCAGTTGTCCAGCCTGTAGCCAGTTGCTATACCAACTGCTCTGTCCCAGCTCCTCAAATTCAATAAATACAGGTGTTTTTTTTAGGGAAAACTCAAATTATAAAGCCTAATGATGAATAACATGTAGAGGCAAATGAGAACGGACAATTTGAATGTAATATATGCAGATACTGTTAAAAAAGAGCTTTAACATAAATTTAAGGTTCTCACAGTAGTGACACAGAAGACAGTTCTATCATCTGTGATGTAACACCATACAGTCTGGTAGAAGTTGACTGACATTCTGGAGGAATGTACTGTCTCCATCTTCAGAATCAAAAACTAAGCTGATTGTTTGGATTCTTTACAACCCTGAAAATGGAAGCAGTATGTTTCTATGTACTTTTCAAAATATCTGGTGTTCTTTCATAAATGTTCCTTATCTTTGTTGGTATACCTAACAAATATTCTATACTAAATATACTGTTGGTGGTAAGGACTTACTACTAGAACTGCAAACTGCTGTGTCAGGAATCCCAAATTAGTATGAAGTTTGCAGTACGAATCTTGAAGTTTGATGTTCTCCTGAACCAAACTGCGGCTGTTATTCTCAAATTTATTAATCACCTTCCTGTATAAATCTTCTTCTTCTCTGAACCTGTAACAAAGCAGAATAATATGTATATGCCACAACTAAAATCCAAAGCAAATATGTTACAATTCAAAGAAAGCAGTCTTCTGGGATTTGGCACCATGTATATGTGGTGTTAGCCGACGTTTTGGACTCAGTCTGTTTTTACTGGTTCTCACGGTCTCTTCGCTTGCAGATTTCTTATATTTTTTCTACCCTGAAGATGGAGGCGATACGTTCCTCCGAAATGTCGGTTAACACCACATATACACGGTGCCAAATCCCAGAAGACTGCTTTCTTCATAGTCACCGCTGTGAAAGCCTCAAATCTTACATGTTACAATTCATCCAAATGAAAGTCACAAATTATAACACTAGGGTACATATGGCTATGGGCAGCAATTTTGGCATACATATCCTAAAAGGACCGGAAGGATTTATGTCCAGTTCTCACGCATGGAAAAATCATAATGAATGGGTGTGTTGTTCTTGGTCTTATAACATGGAGGGTTGTGCCTTTTGAGAGACCATCAATTTAAAAAAAAAAAAAGTGGAGAAGTTAAGGGTAAGTTCAAAAGAAACTTTAAACAGTAAATATTACTGTAATTTGGGATGTGACACAGTGTGAACTGAAATAAATTTATTGACATTTCAGAGGAATATACTGCCTCCAACTTAGGGTGATTACATGACAACAGACAGTGATCACAGTTGCCACCATGAGAACCTGAATTCCCACAACTTTATAAGATTGTAAAAGCATATAGCATACACTCAGTGTTTATTCTGAAATGCTAAAAAATATTTACTTCCTCATGAAAATTTTATTTGAATTAAATATATATTTACATACATGCTGACCTACGAATTCAGGTGGAAGAATGCGTCTTTCAATTATTATTAAGAATATGAGGCTTTTGTTATCTTCTCATAGAAGACTAGTCTTAATTTATCAGTAAACTTTCCATATATGTATAGAAGACCACTGTAGATTGTTGAATATACAGGTTAAGAAATGTAATAATGTTTGTTTCATTTTTTCTACAAGTGTAGTTTAAAACTTGTTTTGCTCTGTTGAATATTTAACGAGTTTTATAAGCAGGGCCCGGATTTTGATGACCTGAAAATATTTAAAAAATGACCTAAAATATGACCCAGAAATGTAATATGCAGGGCCCGGATTTTGATGACCTGAAAATAGTAAAAAAATGACCTATAAAATTACTGAAAAAATCCAGAGAAATGACCTAAGGGAGAAAAGAAAGAACACTTCGCTTCCATGTTATTCACATTTCAGAAAACATATGAAGAAAAATTCCCTAAAATTGCCAAAAGTGACAAGAAATACCCTTAAAAGTCCAAAAAATTACCTCCAAAATGAAAAAATTACCTTAAACCTAAAAATGTCAAAAAATTACCTATAAAATTTACATTTCTGTAACAAGCAGCTCATATCCGAGATTTATCTATTTAAGAGCATTGCATAGGATACAAGGAAAAAAAGATGACATGTCATCAAAATCTGGGCCCTGGTTATAAGAAAGGCATGTATGTTCCAGTCCCAATGAGGTGGATTTTTCAATTTACCTTATCCATCCAGCCACACTATGTCCCTGGGTTCAACTCAGTCTCCAGCAGAAATGATTATCAGGAATCTTCTGGGGGGGGGGGGGGGTAANGTAAAGGGCGGCCAGCACATAAGGCTGACAACCTTACCGCCATCTGTCTAGAGAAAATGTGGGAGCCTGTGGGCCTTAATGGCCTTTTACAGGGATAGCTTTAACTTTTTTATTTAAGAAAAACATGTATGTCTTCACACAAGATGTCGTTTTAACCAAAACAGGCGTATGATAACAACAGTGATAAAGGTGTGGGATATTGATGTTTGACGATACAGTCACTTGAAACTATAACAACAAATGTCTGTTGCATTTAGAACAGGTATTACAGATTAGTGGGGAGCATGTATGAAGAATACTGATGGAGACTCCTTTCGTAGCGGTTAGCCCAGTCTAGTGATGACAGTGCTGAGTGGAGGCCCCTAAAAGGGTCGTTTGTCTTAAGCCTCTGTTGGAGCGAGCTTGCAAGTGTGGCGTGCTTCCTTGCAGCAGCCCATGTTCTTCTTTTGCTGCAGCTCAATTATTGCGAGCTGATGGGATAGCGGCGATTCTGGCTGGCTGGCAGAGTCGGTTGCCTACAGTGCGTGTGCTGTTGTTACTTGAGAGTTGGAGTTGTGGTGATCTCTTGATGGCAATGTAGCAGTGACTGATGCTAGCTTGTTGGAAGCCCGCATTTCTATGCCATTACTGCTGGGCAGTGCGCGGACCAGTTGGTGGTGGAGCTGCAGTTATGAGCGCTGATTGGGTAGCACTTATGTGGATGTACAGACAATCAGGCCACAAGCTGTAGAGTAAAAATAACGCCTGCTTTTGGTACACTGTGGGAGGTTCCCATAAAGGAGAGAAAGATGGGCAGAAACAAGAACATGAATGAAAGGAGGGCGAAGCTATTGTTGTCACGCAACCAACTTACACTAAAATATGAATATTACTTACATAGATGAGTTTGAAGAAACATCTGATGTGGTGCTTCTACACACTTCGTGTGCTGCTTTTCTATTGCTTTCATGCTCTTTTTTGTTAGGTACTTGACGAGTCATAGAACGAGGTAGGCGCAAATTATGTCGCAACTGTTCCTGTAGTTGTAGGACCTCATATTCCTTCCTTCTCAGTTCATGGGAATTTTGGCAATCACGCCGAGTCGCTTGGGTCGTCATACGATGTACCTGAAGAGTATAGATTATATCGTTTCTATATGTAACAGATAACAAATAAACCAGTACAGTATGTGAACTCTTCTATGCAGATAAAGCATAAATATACTTAAAATTCTATGTGAAACACTGTTCATGTATCGGTGATTATAAATATGTTAACGGGAAACTGAGGTTATAGATGACAAATTTAACATAATAAGAATCTGTACTAGTAGAATTATGGGGTACGTAGCAGCGTAGTTGGTTGAGGCACTATGCTACAAGCTGGGAGGTCGCGGGATCGAATCCCGATGAGGTGGATATTTTCAATTTACCTAATACTTCCAGCTACACTATGGCCCTGGGGTCGACTCAGCCTCTAACAGAAATGAGTATGAGGAATATTCTTGGGGATAAAGGGCGGTTGGAGCATAAGGCTGACAACCTTACCGCCATCTATGAGCCGATTGTCTACAAAATGTGGGAACCTCAACATCTCACAACCCTATGGGCCTCCACGGCCTGTTACAGCGATTCCTTTACTTCTTTTTTTACTTACTAGTAGAATTACATAGAGATGCATCATCCTAAGTTCTTTATGCAAGTTCTTCAAACGTGAACTTACTTCCTTTTTCTCATTCCTAAGATCAGACTGAAGTTTATCACACTCAGAAGTTAACTTTCGCTCCTTCTCACGGGCACTAGATAACAGTTGTTCCTTGCTTAATAATTCTGCTTTCAAATGATTAACTTGAGCCTGGAGAAAGAGATATGTCAAAACAATGAAATGTATGTAAGGCACTGAAACTGAAACACGAAAACAAACAATCTGAGTAGAATCTAAATTAAAATGTTTGTAATAAAGGGATACAATTACAAGTGGATGGAAACATAAAAAAAATTAATCCAGTCTTTCTGTATAACAATCTATCAGAAATATCAGCTCACTTATCTGTATATATGCACTTCAGCAGTTTCCTTTGTGACTTATTTTCAATACTGTCAGAATCTCAAGAATAGAGCATTGAACGATGGATGGCTGGTGAATATAGAATTGCAAGGGATGTGGAGGGGAAAAATATTGGCGTAATAAGTGTATATCAAGCATGTGCCTGGAAGGCCATGGAGCAAAACTGTGAAGAACATGTCAGGATAGTTGGTGTCTGAGCTGAGATTTCAGCTGAGCACCTCCCAGATACACATGTAGAGAATTATTGCTATACTAGCAAGCTCGATTTATACAATGTAAGATTTGAGGCTTTCACGGTGGTGACTATGAAGAAAGCAGTCTTCTGGGTTTTGGCACCGTGTATATGTGGTGTTAACCGACGTTAACTGACCAGTTCTCACGGTCTCTTCGCTTGCAGATTTCTTATATTTTTCTTCTACCCTGAAGATGGAGGCGATACGTTCCTCCGAAACGTCAGTTAACACCACATATACACGGTGCCAAATCCCAGAAGACTGCTTTCTTGATTTATACAGTTTGTATCTTCTGAACTGTGTAGGCCTGTTCAGACCTAACTTTGACATTTGAGTACTTAGATAAATTTTATGTAGAGCTAAATTTTATCAAAATCTGAGATGGTAAAATTTTGAATGAATGGGTTGTCAAGTCTGCTGGCTAGCATAAATAACATAGCAATGCAATACGGTAACCAGGAAGTGTAAGTCATATATTACTGTTACATACAGTACCTGAAGATTTTTATTTTTGCCTGTTGCTCTGTGCAGTTTATCTTCCACATCATCATGCCTCCAAACAGCAGATCGGTAATGGTGTAACAGATCCCAGACTGTGTCCATTAGGGCAGATACCAATGAAGATGCTTGTGTTTCCAACATTACACAGCCTTCTTCCTTTTTTATTTGAGGCAGTGGTCGTAACCCATGACATTCAAGTTCCTAGTTAAGATAAAAGTAAATTATAAAAACTAACACAAATGTTCAAAGTAAAAAGTAATTTTATCCCTGCGCTTAAGTTCCAAGAAGGAAGAGAGGTAATCAAGGGATAGTGTCGTGCATTTTTAACCACAGGACTACAAGACAGCCTAATGACTAACAAGTAATTATCTTGGAAAATGCCACCATTATGTAAACTGGTGCCACTCAATTTTCATTCCTCAACACAAAAAACAAATTTAGAACTCCTCACTCAGCAATGAACAGACATAGTCAAATGCCGTGTGATCGAATAATGATGCAGTTACAGTGCATTAAACACCCTGTGGGTACCTAAAGTCACCTCTGTTGTGCCTGCAGGCATACAGTCAGCAGTATGAAAACAACTTTTTTATTACAACTGCCACAACACAACTATATCAATGTCAGTGCCTAGTTTTGGCTATTAATAGCCATCATCAGGCAAATACATGGCTAACATATATGCACAACTGAACTGCAGTATTAATAAAATTGGATACAATAATATTAATATATTAAAATATCTGACATAAAAAGACAATAAATTAGATATATATAAAAAGACAAAAGTTATAGTATAAAACAAGAATAAAATTCTTCGACTAATGCTTTACATCATTGAGTCAGTTGTTGGTTTTTGTGATTTTGTTGTGTTCCCACGGACAGATTGGAGTATTCTATATTTTGTATGTATATAAAAAACTATTACTGGAGGCTTGTGATGTAGATGTAGTAATATAAATAATATAATAAAACAACTCAGGTTTATTGATCTGGAATGCAATTAATTACTTTTGGCTCGATTCAAATCAGAACACTTCCAACCTATCTTGTCTTCTTGGTAAAGGTAAATGGGCAGCTCCATACTCTGGCCATTTTACCTCCAGGGAAGAACCCCTGGTGTATATTAAGCAGGATGAAAGTCCATGCCCCTGAGATGACTCAAGTTCTGGTTGTCTCACCAGACAAAACTCATACTGAATGAGCGATCTCAGCTCATAAACATGCATATTAACTTATTTACTATTGTAAGCACAAGGTTCTGCTTTCATTGGTAACATAAAAATATTATAAATTTATTTCATACCAGTGAATTATGTAGGAAAATTCACTGGTGATAAGTGGAAGATGGGCTCCACAGACTGTACTAAACATAGAGATGAGGAATTAGGTCATTGTATATAAACACAGAATTGAGTTAACTAGTTACAATATGGGTTATCCAACAACCCCATCTCCCTACAATGTTGGCAATTAAATTTGACTTCTTAGGTCCAGAAATATACAATTCAATGAAAGGGTAGGAAGTTCATTTGAACTCAATGACAAGTGTAATGAGTTTCAAATGCCTGTTAGATTTTTAATGCTTTAACATGGGAAGTATAAACATATCTTCACCCTGACATGGTTCCAGGTTTTGACTGATATAACGTCTCATGAAATTCTGATTGCCCTTTCAGAATGATTATTTAATATATGACACTAGAATCAAAAAACAACTGCCTCCTACCACTAAAAGACTGATCAACTGTAAACCTGGTATTTAAGGAAATATGGGAATTCCTGCTAGATTTCAATATTTATTTATTTATTTCGTCTCTCTTGATCATTGTTACATGATAAGACAAGTCAGTTAACATTAAGAGGGTGTGTCGTATTATGAATAACACGTTATGCTACACATGCAGTCAAGGTTGACTGTCAAACACAATGATTACCCCACAGAATATTTAAAACTTTTATAACTCTCAGTAAAACATAACAAATCTTACATCTGACAACTGCTGAATGGAAAATATGGCATTACCACCACTCTCTACGTTGTCTAAAGTACTACTAAGCGAATCCTCAGAACTTGACATAATGTCAGCAATAACGGACCCTAAAAGTTAAAAGTTCAACGTATGGAAACGTCATTACACGAATACAAATTTGAAATAATTCATAACAAGTAATAACAGTCATTCTCACATTCAACAAACGCGGGAACTCAGTACGCTCAGTACGCCAATGCGTCTGTACTCACTCCACGGAACGCGTAAATCGAAGATAACAGTGGAAATATTTACCACGTAGAACGTAGAACCCAGTCAAGTCGGTCAAGACCGGTCAAGACGCAGAGTGTAGCAACCCGTCGTACATGTAAACACGGGTCGCCTGAGGAAGGCAGTAAGTTTTCTCTTTGGATACGGATTATAGAAGTTATGGTAGGTTGGGCAGATATTAACTTTTTAGAAATCAATTATTGGACGATACATCTTTATTTCTGCTTATAATTTGTATGTTACTGTAGACTGAAATAAGCATTTGCTATTTAGTGAGTAAATTAGTTTAACGCCATAGTTTGTTCATAAGGCTTGAAACATGGTGAGTAAAATTTGTATACTAACCATACTTTGTGGAAAGGGTTTGATTATAATTTTTAAATATCTAATGACTTAAAGTTATAAAGCTATTAATTATATATAACTTGTTGAAAAAATGAGTGTATGAAAGTGCATCAGAGCATGCATATTTTCTTTTTCAGACGAAAGGTACCTCAAGTTTTGGTAAACGCCGCAATAAGACACACACACTGTGTCGTCGATGTGGTCGCTCATCATATCATATTCAGAAATCAAAATGTGCACAGTGTGGATACCCCAGTCGTAAATTAAGACACTGTAAGTTGACCAGTATTCTCTTGAAGTCCTGTATTCGTGGGAATTATAGAAATGAAAATGTAGCAATTTAGTATGAAATTTATAAATGCGTACCATTATCTTCCAGAAGATGCCAATTTGCAGTTTCAGTTTTGTCTCCATGTATCACTGAAGAATAATCGCCGTTTTCCGTATCTGAAGAGCCCCTGATTTTAAGAGGTAGAATGTGTATATTCACTGGACACTGACCCATGCTGGGTAAACTTAAATACTGAATATAAATAGAATCCTGAATTTTCATTCAGGTGCTTTAAAGGCACAAATTCGTACATATATATAGGCAAATATAGGGCATCCCAGAAACTACTATTATTGGCTAAAGTGTGTAAAACCATCAAAATCTTGAGATCAGTATCTTTCTTTGTAATATATACTTTCATATATGTGGTATATGCATGAGAAAATGAAAAGCATAGGAAATATATGCTGTGAAGGAAAATTAGAGAAGCTGCAGCTAAAAGGAACGATTTTGGTGGCATGACAACATAAAAGATGTTGAAAAAATTAATTTGTAAACAAATGCCCCGTTTGACTTCTGTTATTCATGTGGCTAAACTTGTGACCTAGTAGTCCCTGCAAAAGCGTTATGTGATTACATATTGCATTGGATGGCTGAAGTGCACAGACATCCATTATGTTTCAACATCTCAGTTTTTGTACAAGTACTCCCCTTGGTTAGGTAAGGATCTTAGATTGTAACTGTATTCCAGTTTCTTCTGTATTACAACCAATCAGCATCTTTGTTGAAGTGTGGACTGAACAATCTGTGTAGATTGTGGAAATTGGAATGTTCTTTCACTTGACTGTTTATTGCAGATTCTTCTCTGTGTGTACTTGTGTTTAGTGTTTTTTAATTGTGATATTTACAGATAACTGGAGTGTTAAAGCCCAACGGAGGAAGACAACTGGTACTGGTCGAATGCGGCATCTGAAGATAGTGAGGCGCAGATTCAGGTGAAGTAATTTTTTTGTATACTCCATTTATTTATTTCATCTCTATAGACCATTGATACATGATATAGGACAAGTCAGTTACTGTACATTGGCAGATTACAATAAGAGAATAAAATTACAATACTTAAAATCGTTTACAATAGATTATGGTAGATTACAATAGTTAAGATTTCATATAGTGTGAGGTGAAATTCATATTAGGTCCCCTCGGCACGTCGGCTTCCATATGTCCTATTGTACCTGTACTGATGATAATGCTTATGGAGAATGTGATGGAATGAGGATTGGCAGGGGAAACCGAAGTACTCGGTACCGAAGTACTCGGTACTGAAGTACCCACTTGACTAGACCGCAGTGGTGGGAAGCCAGCGACTAACCACTTAAGCTATGGCGTGGCCTTTGAGATAATATTGGTGAATTTGGTGATAGCACTGGTGTAACGTTTCACTGTAGACTCTAAACTGCAACATCTCATTACCTTCCTGGTGCAGCTTCTTGGTATCTGCATTCTCTCCAGAGTAGCTCATTCAGGTACATCTCTGACTGTGTTATCTTGGTTGCTGGAAAAGAGAGAGGAAAACTGCGCAGTAGGGATCCCCAAAACTGATTATTCATAAATAATGCGATTATAATTGATTAGTGTTTGTCTCACATGAGAGAAACTCATCCACTTTATAAAAACAATGATCAAGTAGGTAAGTTTTCAAAGGGTTTTGAACTTACATAGTACTGGTATTTCTGTAATATATCGTGGCAGATCATTTAGCAGTCAAAGTCGTACATTGTTGAAGTTGTTCTTGCATAGACTTGTATTACATGGGACGATGTGCAAGTCGTCTTTCTTCCTTGTGTTGTACGAGTGTAATCCCGAGTTGGTTGTGAAATCATTCAAATTGCATTTTATGTATATTAGAGTTTCGTATATGCACAAAGGTGGTAGAGGTAATATATGTAATGATTTGAAAATTTGTTTACAACTACAGTAAAACTTGGTTATAGCAACATCGGTTTCTGCGACACCTTGTCTATTGCGTCAAATATTCAATGGTACGAACTAATTCCTCATAAAGCAACTGTTTTTATACCTTGCTTAGTACGACATGCACAAATGCATCAACCTCGTATGTAACGTCATTTTCATTCCTGAATTTCTCTGATATGGACATTGAACGTAATTTAGAAAGTGTGTATTGGGCAAGTAACAGGAAACAGATGAAGATAACTGATTACTGTACTCGTATCTAGGTACAGTAAGGCACAATTGATGTAATCTACTGTAATTTGGTGAGTAGGCCTACCTTTAATATACAGTATTAGTGCGGTGTGTACTGTCAGTGAAAAGCGCTGTAATATGTCTTTGATATTACACATTTGGGCAATTCCACGTTAATGTTAGGTTAGTCTGTACTTAACTATGTATTTCACTAAAAAATGCAACATTTTAACTCTGTTTTTGGTAGATTTTTACGTGACTAATATAAGGCTACTGTGGAAGTGCCCATTTCGGTTACGACGACATTCGTTTATAACGACACTATTTTTAGGTCCCTTTGATGACGTTATAACCAAGTTCTACTGTAGTTGTTTTTGGGAGCCTTGTAGGCATTTTTTCTGCAGCCTCTGCTAAAGTGAATAATTTAACAAAATTTTGTGTACTATGCTGATAACTTGAAGGTGTTTTTAAGTCCCAGATAAATAAAATCATTGTAGTGGTTTCTGAAGTATGTAAAACGTGAAAATGCAGATTGTGGGGTGATAACATAATTTTGTAGCTTTGTGGCATTAATATGCTATGCAGTAACCACTTGTAAACTGACTTCCAAGTAGATGTGCTTATTGTATAAATCATTTGCCCGACATTCTATAATTTTGTAGTTAATGAATTTCTCTTTCATGACAGTTGAAGATGGTGGGTTCATCAGGTCAGTGGAGTTATCTGAAAGTTTGCTTATTAGAGGGACTCTGCATAGGTTTTTTTTTATAATTTGCTTAGTTGGGAGGGGGGGGGGCTGGCATCCAACTGGGTCCACTCGACACAGCGGCCACTGATTGGTCTATTGTAGCCTGCCCTGGGTGATTATGATGATGGAGAATATGGTGGAATGAAGATTGGCAGGGGAAACTGAAGTACTTGAAGAAAACCTGACCCAGCGCCACATTCTCCACCAAAAATCCCACTTGACCAGACCCGGGATCAAACCCGGGCTGCCGCAGTGGGAAGCCAGCGACTAACCGCTTGAGCTATGGCGCAGCCTCTCTGCAGGGGTTACTGTCTTGTGTGATGTAATGCCATGTAGTGAGCTGACCCTCCCCTCTTTACCTTTCCTCCTGCCAAGGGGGAGACACTGCTTCCGTCTCCTAGTTCTTTCTGTTGCATTCTTAACACCTCCCGAGATATTAAAGGATGTCTAAGCAGTATTTACAATGGCCCCCTAAAACTTCCAAGTAACAAAAGTTTAATATGACAAATACAATAAAATACAGTACAATACATTGGACTGTCCACATCCACTATTGCGACCTTGAAACACTCACGTCGCGCAATATTTGTGAACACACCCACTTAGGGGGTCAGAGTTAGAGCACTCCAGTTTAGCTTCTACTCCTCTCTAGCAAACGAGTAATAGAATACAAGAAAATACAGACCCAATATTGCAACCTTGAAACAGTCACGTCGCGTAATATTTGTGAACACACCCACTTAGGGGGTCGGAGCTAGAGCACTCCAGTTTAGCTACTACTCCTCTCTAGCAAACAAATAATAGAATACAATATAATACAAGAAAATACAGACCCAATATTGCGACCTTGGAACAGTCACGTTGCGTAATATTAGTGAACACACCCACTTGGGGGTCAGAGCTAGAGCACTCCAGTTTAGTTACTACTCCTCTCAAGCAAACAAATAATAGAATACAATATAATACAAGAAAAATACAGATCCAATATTGCCAAGCAAAAATGTAAATATATCCCCCAGAAAACGCCAATATGGCATTCCTTGTCCTGAACCTTCATGGAAACACTGCAAAACCGAATTTTGACTGGCCACGCCCAAAAGTAATTTTTTTGTTACCTGTCTTCCCTGACTTCTCCTCCTAGAGTGTTCATCTCTCTCTACCTTACTTGTCTCCAAAAAAAAAAAACAACCAGTTGGAGGGGGGGAGGGGGGGATCGCGTGATAGGCCAGGACGGAAGAACTTTCTAGACACAAGAAGAAAAAAAAGAAAAAAGGGGGGGGGTAGGAAGAGAAACCGCTGAACGGAGCCTAAGTAGAACGCATGGCTCAGTAGTTTGGTAGATGGGTGCCAATATTTCAGAGGAGCCTCTTGTGTCTCCCTTTAGAATATTAATCTTCATGTTCACTGCCATGAGAACTTCAGAATTCTCATCCATTCTGTACTGTCTGCATATCAAAAGAACCATGCCACTTCTGCATAAAATAGACATTTCCTGCATCTGTATACCCAACTTCATAGTGTCTTTCATCCTTTATTAACCATACCTTGTACTAACACAATGGAACATGCTGGTGGTCCAGCTAGCTGAGCATTGCTAAAAAAAAACTATACTGTTACCCCTGAGTTAATGTCTGGCTGACAGCCTCATAGTACAGGAAGACATATAAATTCCCCTACTCCTGGGCAAGAAAGGTTATTACATTCCATATTATTCTGAATTCTTGGAATAGAGCATTTGCCAAATAAAACCTGGAACATGACCCTCCACTGTAAAGTGAAACTGCCCCTATGCTTAATTAAGCAATGCATGACAGTGTATGGGGGAGTGGAGGTGTACCTACATGCATTCTTAACCTTGGCACTAGATGCAGGTGAGTAGTCAGCTTCATTCCCCTAGCCACTCTACTTCCAAGAAAGAGAGTATGTTTCCCATTGGGTGGCATGCTGAGTGGACCACAGAACCAGCCTGACACTGGAGAAATCCTGCCTCCTTACTTACTCATCAAGCTGAGCCCTTCTGGAGGACCCGCCAATTCTGCAGCTACTCGAGAAGTTCCCAGCATTTTATGGAACCCAAAGGTTTATTACCATGTTCACAAGAGCCCTCCACTGGTCCCTATCCTGAGCCAGATCTATCTAGTCCATCCCATCCTATCTCTCTAAGGTCCATTTTAATATTGTTCACCCACCTGCGCCTTGGTCTTCCCAGTGGTCTCTTTCCCTCTGGCTTTCCCACCAATATCCTATACACATTCCTCGTCTCCCCCATTCATGCTACATGCCCTGCTCACCTCATCCTCCTTGACTTGATCATTCTAATTATACTTGGAGAAGAGTACAAGTTATGAAGCTCCTCATTATGCAGTTTTCTCCAAACTCCTGTCATTTCATCCGTCTTTGGTCCAAATATTCTCCTCAACACCCTGTTCTCAAACACCCTCAGTCTATGTTCCTCCCTTAATGTCAGAGACCAAGTTTCACACCCATACAGAACCACAGGCAAAATTATAGTTATGTATATTCTAATTTTATGTTTTTGGACAGCAGACGAGAAGACAAAAGGTTCTGGACTGAATGGTAACAAGCATTACTCGAGTTCAATCGCCTCTTAATTTCCTCCTGAATCAGGTTCCGATCTGTTATCGTTGTTCCCAAATATCTGAACTGTGCCACATTTTCAAAACATCTGTTTCCTATCTTTATGTCATGATTTTGCCCTGCATTTTGGTGACGAGACAGCAACATAGACTTAATTTTATCTGTTTACTTCTAGACCTACCTCTTTACTTGTGACAATTAAAGTTTGTGTGTTTTTCTTTATGGTATCTACATTATCATCCAGTAGATTCACATCATCCGCTTAGGCCAACAGCTGATGCGTCCCGTTTAATTTCAGTCCCACCTGGTTTCCCTGGATTTTTGTAATGCCATATTCTAAAGCGAAGTTGAAAAGGAGTAGCGATAAAGCATCTCCTTGTTTTAGACCATTCTGGATAGGAAATTTATCCGACAAATGTTTGCCTGCACGGACTTTATGATACATTTTGTTAAAACACATTTTAATCAACCTGACTAGTTTCATGGGTATCCCAAACTCTATCAGAATATTGTACAATACTTCCCTCCTAACTGAATCATACGCTTTGTTGGAGTCTATGAATAGCTGATGTACTGTTTCATTGTACTCCCATTTTTTCTCCAGCATCTGACGAATGCAAAAGATCTGATCAGTAGTTGATCTGTTATGTTGAAACCCACACTGATGATTCCCAATAATTTCATCTATATATGGACTTAACCTTGGAAGAAGAATATTGGATACAATTTTGTATTCAAGTTGATAGCAGTGATATCCCTCGATAATTACTACAGTTAGTTTTATCACTCTTCTTGTGAACTGGTACAGTTATAGACTCCTTCCACTGATCAGGCAGTTTTTCCTTATGCCAAATAAAAGTAATTAGGATCTTAGAACGTAATATTTCACCTCCTGCTTGAATAAGTTCTGCCAGAATTTGATCACTATCTGGTGATTTATACCGTTTCAATTTTACAATAGCACTTTCAACCTCAAAAGAGCTAGGATCAGGTACTAACGGCTCAGCTGTATGGATTTCTGTCTGCCTAACATCACTGACCCTATATACATTCAATAACTGAGAGTAGTTCCTCCACCTATTCATAACGTTGTGGGAATCTGCAAGTAGATCACCATTCTCGTCCTTCACTAGGCTGGTAACCCCTCTTAAAGTTATTCATTCCTCTATACAGGTCTCTGATGTTCTTGTTCTTACTCTTCAGTGTGAGCTCATCAATTTTGTCTTTCAGGCATTAGCTCTTTTTATTCCTGAAATGCCTGCTGGTTTCACGTTTTATACTGTTCAGATTATCCCCATTTAACTCCCTTGAATCCTGTAAACATTGCAATTTGGCCTGCTTTCTTTGATCTAATAATTTTGAGCATCCTTCATTGAACCATGGCTTATGCTTCTTCGGTTCATAATAACCTAGACTCTCTTTGGCAGACATTTCTATATTCTCTCTGATAGTTTCCCAAGCTTTATTAACATCCACCTCAGTGCCCAAGTTTTCCAAAGCCGCGAACCTATTTGAGTTTTCAGCACAATACTGCTCTTTACCCTCTACCTTGTTTAATTTCTTGAGATTGAACCTCTCCATGTGAACTCTGTGTGTTGTTTGCTCACTGCCAGTCTTTCTCTAACCTTTGCCACAACCATGTAGTTGTCAGTATCACAATCTGCTGTCCTGAGTGATTGGACATCAAGTACCCTGCCCCCTAGTGCAAATAAACTCTTATTCCTTAGTCATCCATCTCATAGCCTGTGTGCTAACTGAAGTATTAGTTTTACGGGTTTGTATGAAACCCATGAGGTTTACAGTTGAAGGGGTATGTCTTATGTACTAATAGTACACATTGCTTCAATGGAACACGTAAGTTGATAATTTCAGTGTTGTATGAAACATTGTTAGAGGAGGAGGAAATTTAGTGGTAGCCATTCAGCAACACAACTTTTTCATTTTAGCAGAGTAATTTCTTTTAATCTGTGGTTTAAAATGTGAAATAAACTTTTATTCTGTTTCAATTTGAGATATAATTATATTATATAATTATGATAACTTAGTGGAGGTAATTTTTGTTGTGTTACTGTTCATTCTGATACTAGAACTCGCAGTTTCAACCCTGCTGATAATAATGATTGTCTTTCGCCTTGATCATAAGCCAATTTCATCAGCCTCCTATCCTCACCTTTTACTTCCAGAAGATCCATGTTAATGTTATCCTTCAGTCTTCTTTAGAGTGGTCTTCTATGAAAGCAATAGACTGATAAGAACCATTTCCAGAATTTGTTTGAATAGTTTCTTTGTCAATCTCATTTCCTCAACATTCTCACTTCAGTTACATTTAAGATTCTTACAGCAGTGACTGTGAATAATACTTGCATGGCTTACTTTTGACCCTGAAGCTGGAGACAGTATGTTCATCCAGAACATCCGTGAACTTCTGAGCTGCAGGGTGTCACATTGCAGAAGAAATATTCTTCATTTTTAATTAATTTTAGGTGCTATGGCTTTGTTGTAGATTTTAATTTTGTGTGTCTATGTGTACTATATTTCTTTCTGGGCTGATTTCTTTGCTTGCTTTCATGTCAGTGTTTCCAGTATTAATGCAGTGGTCAGCTTTTTTGAACTGTGATCTCTGTGTTTCAGGAATGGATTCCGTGAAGGTGGCAAACCAGCACCACGCAAAGTTGCTGGAACGTAAACTGGAGTGTGTTTATAATCTGAATTTTGTTTGGTGTATTAATATGAAAGCAAGTCAATAAAATAACAAAGTTATTTCTTTGTAACTACAGAATTTTCTAAAACATTGCCTCATAACTTGTGGCAGGACAATGCTGTGATATACCTGATGAGTTAATATGGTTTCCAAGAAGACTTATTTGGAAAGCAACATAAGTTTAAATTTCAGAATTTTCACTGGGCAAATTTTTAAATTATGCACATTGTCTTTAGAACTTTTGGAGCCAGGAAATCTCAGTTGGTATAATAACTAGGCAATGGGTTGGATGAACTGAGATAGGGGCAAGAAATATTTTTCCTCTTCAGAACACCCACATTAGCTCTGGAGCCCATCCAGTAGGTACAAGGGTTAAAGCAGTCAGGACATGAAGCTGGGAACTCATCCCTATCTACTGCTAAGGATAAAAGTAAATGTAGCTGTACCTCCACTCCACCATACGTTTTCATGGAGTATTGCTTAATTAAAGTGGGTCAGGTGCCTGTCTTGATAATGGCATTGCTGTTCACTGCTGCAGGGAAAATACACCCATTCATAAACATTCTTTCCTGTGAATATCAGCAAGGATTTAGTGTTTACGTACTTGTATTACACAAATCACTGCTAGGCCAGACTTCACAGGATGGTTGTCCGAGAGAGACGCATCGACAAAGTGCACCCTGCAGCCATCATTAGGGGAGACCCACCCAATGTTTAAGGAAGATTTAGTGGCAATGGCTCTGGGGTGGCGCCCGCTGACAACTTGGGTGTTCGTGGCCAATATCACCGATAAGTTCACCCTTGGACTCGGATGTCAATGCATCCTTGGATTTGAGGTGCCACGTGGTATGACTGGGCGATGAGGAAGTGTCACTGCAATGCCCTGTGGCGTGACTGTTACCCCCCTCCCCCCAATCCTTTCCAGTGGGTACTGGGCCTCTTTCTCTGGAGGTAACACAGCCAAGGTGTGATGCTGACCACTCAACTCCAACTAGTGCCAGACAAAGGAAACCTGGATCTATATGTGCACTCCACCATTTGCCTTCATAGCATGGTGTTTAATCAGTTAAGCACGGGGACAACTTTAGCTTTTTTTTTTTTATCAGAAAGATATTTTTGATCAGGATAAATTTAGAAATGTATATGTAACAGTCTTGCCCATTCTATTTGAAAATTACATATGGAGCATAAATTTTAGTAGTGATTTTTATCGCTAAATTTCATCATAATCCTTAGGGATGTTACAGGCATACAGAAGGATAGTACTACATGTTAGATTATGTCATTTTCAAATATATCTTAGCTACAACAAAAATTGTATATTGTATTCTGATATTGATTACGTGGTTCACTTTTTTGGTGTGTATTTAATGGCCTCATTAGGTCACTACAATTTGACCTAAAAATTGTGTTGCAGTTGGAAGTGCATATTAGGGGCCCGAAAGCTTTGAATTACATTATTCAACATTCCACATATGGAAGATATTTAAATATGTGCTGTCAGCTATCATGCTGGATGCTGCTAAGAACAGACCATAAGTAGAACTGTTTAGGCAATGAGAACTTGAGAACACATTTATGTATGTAAATTTCAGAAATTCATTTATTGATTATGATCCTGTTTCATTGCTGTGGCTGTTTGTTATGAAGGATGTATAACTGATTCTGAATCTACAATTCATTATTACATTCACTGTAAGTTCACTTCTAATTCTCTTCCGATTCATTAGAATTTAATTTATTTTACACATACTCATACACACACACACACACACACACACACATATATATATATATATGCAGGGGGTTCCAGGAGTAATGTGCCAAACTTCGGGAGGGTGTTCCTTATGTTAGAGTATGCCGATATAACCCAAAACACCCATGTCCAAAGTTGAACGGTTACGGAGACAATGGCCCGAGAAAAGTGTGGTCTTCTAGCGGGTCCACGNGGAATATTGTGATATGCATTTTTTGTATGGATTTGCCATGGGAATGCACGTGCTGCTGTTGAAGAATACCAAAGGCGTTTTCCCGAGCGAAGGATTCCATCTCGAAGTGTATTTACGCGAATTTACCAGACATTGCGTGATACTGGTTCTCTTCCAAGTGTTTCTGTTCACTCTGAAAGGGAGGATGTATGAATGATAAACACACGAGAGAACATTCTTGAGATGGTTCAGAGAAGTCCGCGTCTGTCCACTCGTAGAATGGCCTCTTGCATCGGCGTATCACATATGCAGGTGTGGCGAACTTTACATGATGAAGGGTTGTATCCTTACCATGATCAAAGGGTACAACATCTGGAACCATGCACAGTGTATGGATTTGTGCCAGTGGATAAAAGCTCATTCCGAACTGTTAAGCGTCATTTTATTCAGTGATGAGGCATCTCTTACCCGGGATGGTGTAAATAATTTACGAAATGTGCATATGTGGTCCCATAATAATCCACATGAGATAATGGTAATAAAATTCCAAAAGAGATTTTTAGTGAATGTATGGTGTGGTGTGCTTGGGAACAGGCTGATCAGACCTTTTGTGTTTCACAACAGTTTAACTGGAAACACATATGGGCCTGTTGCATGGCCATCGAGGTCGCCAGATCTTACGCCTCTAGATTGTTACCTCTGGGGCCACATGAAGACGTTAGTCTAAGAAACTAAGGTCGATTCACGAGAAACACTGCGGGATCGTATCTTTGCAGTGGCAGAACACATACGTCATCATCCAGGCAACATTGCTTCTGTTACCCAATCCCTCATGATGCGTGCCGAAAAGTGGAGGACACTTTGAACAATTACTATAAAGCAGGTACTGTATTTTAGTACAGTTACATAGTCGGCTTATACCAGAATGCACAGTCGGCCATGTTACGTCAGCGCTTGCCATTCATGTGTCATGTATAGTGCTTGCAACCGTAAGGATCCACTATGAGATGGCGTGCGAGTTTTTTTGTAGTTCAATTTAATGGCTTCATGTCACTCACAAGTTAGTTTGATGTTAAGTACATTATTAACATTACAAAAACCACATATTCCTGCCAGTTTTAATATGTATTTGGTAATCAACAAGTGTGTAACACATGTCAAAGTTTCACACTTCTTTGGCCATTATCTCCGTAACCGTTCAACTTTGGACATAGGTGTTTTGGGTTATATCGGCATACTTTAACATAAGGAACACCCTCCCGAAGCCTGGCACATTCCTCCTGGGACACACTGTATATACTCACACACACAATATAACACTGTTCAATATATTCTATCCTGGTGTGGTTGCATGTGTCCAGGCCTATGAGATGGTGCACTGAAGCAAGCTTCTGGTATGCTGTGCCAGCATTTTGGACAGATCACAATGGGTCAGTCCAGAAGAAGGCATGATTTATGGCAATATGTGATGTGCAGCATTTCCTTGGATCAAAAACAAGCAGCTCAACCAGTAGGGCACAGGCATAGGTATCCTTAACATGTCACATCAAACATTGAATAACCTATGAACAATAAGCATTCCAATTCATTCGCCAACATTATAGACATTTTGTTAAAACTAAATACTAAATTACCACAGATTGTATGCTTTGCTTCTGTGCTCCATGGAATTAGTTACATGATGACTATAGAATATCTATTCACTAGCTGCTCTGTTACATCAACCCCCCCCCCCCAAAAAAAATCTACATGTGGATGTAAGTCTAAACTTGGGAATAAAGTTAGATCAAATTCAATATGAGGTCAATAATATACACCTCAAAACTTCATTTTTATAAAAAGGATAAATATAGACAACTTTGAACAAGGCCCCGCATTCATAGTCAAATCCCGCACATAGCTTGTTGTGGGAGGAGTTTCTTAACAATCGTTCTTCCACTGGCCGCCTGTCACTTCTCACACCCTCCACCCCCTTGTCTGAAATTTTTCTTCTGCACATTCAAGGTTACTCTTGGCCTTGTTCGTAGTTACGTGACACTTGTTATAACACATTCCTTCCACTTCTGCAGCAATTCTTCCTTGTAACAAATATAACAAATAAATCCACAGACCCCAAAACAAAATGTTATACTTCCTGCTTACATCATTACATCACAAGCTGACCTGGCAGTTTATATCTAATAAATTACACAACAGAAATTTCAACATCAAGAGTAGGCTCAGATATATGCATTTCAGTTTGCCTAACTACATATAAACTCAATAGCCAGAAATATTTTCCTTGTATTCAGAACACTGGGAATCTGTGAGTAAGATTGCACTTCTCATTTTTTTATCAAGTTGGTTCTAAGTTTTAAAGGTAAAATTGTTCCTGTGCTTAACCAATTAAACACTATGCCATGAAGGCATATAGGGGAGTGGATGTACAGATCCATGTTTTCTTGATCTCATCAATAGCTGGAGTCGGAGGTGAGTGGTCAGCTTTCTTCTTCTATGGCGCAACAGCCCCATGTCGGGCCTTGGCCTCCCTTATCAAGCCCCTCCATTCCTCTCTATCCTGCGCTGCTCTCTTCCAGTTCCTTACGCCCATTAACTTCTTTGCATCTTCTTCCACCGCATCAAACCATCTATTTCTTGGTTTCCCAGCACGTCTCCTACCACCTATTGTACTGTATAATATTTTCTTTGGGATACGCTCCTTATCCATTCTCTGTACATGCCCAGCCCATTGCAATCTTTTAAGCTTTATTGTCACTGAGATCTCTGGCTACTCTTTATTATATCTTATTCTCCATATCCCATTCTCTTTTATTTGTCCATAAATTCATCTTAGGATTTTCCCATCGAAAGAATTGATGACTGATTCCTCTTTCTTGTTTAAGTGTCCAACCCTCACATCCATAATAAAGCACCGGTCTTATCATTGTTTTATATATTTTTTGTTTTAATCGCTCGGTGTATGTCCTTTGATCTAAAAACTGAGAGTAACGAGAAATATGCATTATTCGCTAGTTTTATTCTTCTTGTTATTTCATGATTTTCCTCTCCATCTTTATGGAATTTTGATCCTAAATGTATGAAGTCTTCAACTATTTCTGTCCTGTCCCCTTCCATGTTAATTTCTCCAGTTTGCCTTGGATTCCTTATAGATTGTATCAGCATTTTAGTTTAATTTACGTTCACCTCTAAACCAGTTGTTTTTGCTATGGTTTTTATTTCTTTATGTCTCCTTTATTGCTCTTAGTGATCTCTATACTATAATATCATCTGCATACGCCATTATTAGCGTTTGTTTATACGCTATTGTATTCCTTGTGTCTGCATTACATTTCCTCACTATATATTCCAATACCAAGTTAAATAGTGATGGTGCCAAACTATCACCCTGTTTTAATCCTTGATTTGCTTAAAGCATTCTGTTAACTGGTTCTGGATTTTAACTTGATTGATTGTTTCTGTCATGGTTAAGTTAATTATTCTACTTAGTTTTGTTGGAATACCAAAAGTGGACATAATCATCCTTAATTTGTGCCTTATTATTGTATCATATGCTTGTCTAAAATCTATGAAGCATAGGTAAATATCTATATTAAATTCCCAGCACGTCTCTGTTATTTGTCTCAGGGTGAATGAATTGTCTGTTGTTGACCTGTTGGGTCAAAATCCTGATAAAGAGTGGTCAGCTTTACCCCTTGGGAAATGGTCCCCCACACCCATTGGATAGGAAGCTGGGTGGGCCCGAGTCAGTCTGGACAACGTGTAGAAAATTCTTGACCCTACTGGGACTGAAATTCCAACCCCTCAAGTCATCCAGCCCGTAGCCAATCGCTATACTGCCTGCGCTATCCTGGCTCCTATGTTGCTAACCATTCCTGAATCCACTCACACCCCTATACAGGTTTGTAATATTTTTCAGTTTCAAAATATTAATTTTGTCTTTCACATATTTTCTCAGTCTTTTTCATTCCTCAAAGTTTTACTATTTTTATATTGAAAACCAATTACACAAATTCATCCAAGGAGACAACGGATTGCACAATACACATCATTTAGAATATTTCAGAATGAAATGAACATTTTGCTGAAAATGCAGCCTCTCACACAGCAAGGTAGCTTTGTTACCAACATGACAAGAACAGTACAAAGTCTGCTACATTAAAAACACTGAAATAAATATGGTTCTACAACAACTGAACACTGGTTCACGGCATTCAAATTAATAGCATAAGCAGATACAACAAATCTTCTAAAAATTATTCACAATGAGCCAAAAGCAAGTGGCCAGCTCGCTTTGCATTAATGTACCTTAAATTAAATTAAAAAGTAAAAACAATATATCTGTAATATTTAGCATCTCTGAAATTGTAATATAAAATGTCAAGAGGCTACAGCTGCGTGAAGCACAGAAAAGAATCGATTCAAAAGGAAGTTCAGAACCTACCGATTACACTGGCTGGCAGTAAATGGCCTCGCCAAACCAAAGTCTGCTAATTTCAATATTCCAGCTTTTGTGAGAAGTATACTGGCCGACTTCAGATCTCTATGCATGATCTGAGAAAATATGAAGGAGGGAAAAATTATTAATAACTTTCTTCTAATTAAATAGGATACAACAGTTCATTATATAGTAGGCCCTCATTATACCATGTATTCTGATGTACCACAGTGTTCATGTCCCTCAGTATGATTGATTACACATGCTTTATGAAATATTTTAGTTACAGTATGAGATATATGTTTCAGGTTTATCTAACCTTGGAATCATTCTGTTCAAACAGAAACATTTAACAAGCACCCGTTTACCTTCTTGAATACAGATGGTCCAAAATCTTGCTGACCTACCAAGAAGTGACTAAAACTACCACACTGTACTAACAATCATTAAGATGTGACTAATGCTATAGTAATAACAACCAAAAGAGACAATTATACAATCAGAGAAAATTTTTAAATTTTCAAAGAGAGTTAAGAATGGCAAATTAAAAACCAGCTTATTCCGCAAGTGTGACATTCCAGAAGGAACAATATGTGGTTGGGTGAAAACAAGATGAATGGCATTCATATGTAGAGTTCAAAGAAGATGAAGCAAGGCTGCAGAGGAGAACACTTAGACTTGTGAAAACAGATATGTAGATGTGTTTCTGTACAAGTGCTTCCTACAGAAGCATAGTGAAAGAGTGCCTACAAACAGGGTAGTTCTAAAGCTTAGGTACTTCAGTTTAGCAAACTACTTGGTGGGAATAAGACATGTAAATCTTCCGAAGAGCGACTATGGAAGTGGAAGGTTCGACATGAGATGTGCCAACTTAACGCTGAATATGACTGTGCATCTGGTGACAGTACAGCATCTGAACAGTTTCTTGAAATTCTGTGTGAAGCCCCCAGCCACTCAGCTACTCAAGGATCTCCCAACATAGTACGGAACCCAAAGGTTCATTACCGTGTTCACGAGAGTCCACTAGTCTCTATCCTGAGCCAGATCAATCCAGTCTATACCACCACAACCTATCTCTCCAAGATCAATTTTTAAACTATTCTCCCACAAAATGCTAAACAGTTCCGCCTCATGTGACCGGTGAAGATTGTTCTTAGTACTGAGTACCTGGAAAAGGTAATAACAAATTACATATTCAAGGTAAGAAAATACATAAGCCTGTCCTTCCTCGTTAAACAAGGAAAGTAGGGGTAGAAGAAAAAAATACAATGACACAAATTGTTGATAGATTAATATTTTGTTCAAAATAAAAAAAAACAACAAGCAAACCATATCCTCTCACCTATGTCTAGGTCCTCCTTGTAGCTTCCTACCAAAATCTTACAGGCATTCATCTTTGCCCTATGCATGCCACAGGACATGTCCAACTCATCCTCCTTGAGTTGATCATTTATACTTGGCAAAGAGTACAACTTATGAAGCACCACATTATGCAACTTTCATCCATGTTTAGTCCAAATATTCTCATCACCACGTTGTTCTCAAACACCCTCAGAATTCAGGTAAGATTACAAGTAAAAAGTAAGAGTAATTATTTGTCCCCTTCTCAATACTGATGGTTTATGGATATATGAAGTTGTTCATGGAAATGAGCACAAAAAGCAAGTTTACTGTTCTACAATTCTTACTGAAGCAATAATACAATAAGTTCTCCATGTGGCCAACATCTTTCCTGAGGCAAGTTCTTGGTTTCTTTTATAAGAGATCTAGCTGCTAAATGAATCACAGCACCATCATTTCTTAAGCGCATTGCTGTACTGAAGTGGTGGCCTGTTGGCTATTCTCTGGTGTGATATTCAACAGTTGGTTATGATAAATGTTACTTGCATTCTGATTCACCTATGTCAGATTCACAGAACTCTGAGATGCTAACCTTACTGGTTATACATACCTTATTACTATGAACGTAGCACAAGCCATGTAGTAACTGGTGCATTATGTTTTTTATCTCTCCCACAGTAAACGTCACATTACCATTCGGCAACATGCCAGCTAAATCATGCTCACAAAACTCTTAAGACCAAGTAGAAGTTGGACTCGTACATGTTGTACTGAGTACCTGGAAAAGATAATAACAAATTACATATACAAGGCAAGAGGACACACAAGCCTATCCTTAATCATTAAACAAGGAAAGTAGGGCTATATGAAAAAAAATACAATGGAACAAATTGTTGACTGTTGCCGCACTGCACTAGATGGTAAATCAATGCATTTTGATGCTATTGTATATAGTTGATGACACTAAACTTCCTTTGCTTGAGAACAAAACTCTCCTTTCCACGTTACTTTATTTTTGTAACGTCCATGTTTGTGCCCCCTTTGTATGCATGTTCTCAGGTAAGAATACTGATCTTAAAATGCAATATTATATGAACACAATATTCGCAAAAACGTCTCTTTTAAGAAATGCAATTGGAAGTCATATAATTCAAGGTAGTGATAGGTTAAGTGAAAGTGTACAGCCATTTTCTATGCTTACACAAACTAATTCTTTAAACAACTATAATTTGTATGTATGCATAATTATTTAAACAACAAGTTAATATAAATAAAATGCTAGTTAAAAACAACACAACATAACCTGACATATCTCCACAAGTTAGCATTGCTAGTAAGTACACTTCCTTACTGATATTATGTTCAATTTCCACAACTTGAAGGCTGCACAAATACTAAAATAATTGCGATAGCATCTTATTTTAGTTCCAGATATTGCGATGTGTAATTTCGGTGATCTTTAGCGCAAATTTCTTAATTTTATTTGCGCACTTACATGGAGTGTTGTGTACACTATTACATACGTTTGTTTGACCACCTACATTATCTTGTTAAGTTATAATTTAGTATTACAGGTGAAACTCCCACATCCTTCCTAACACATAATTAACATTTCAAGTTCTTAGTACAGCGACTTTGAATAATTCACTTATTTTCTTGCTTGTAAAGCCGCATAGTCTGAAAAAGAGAGCACCTTCTCCCAGTAACTTGAGCACATCTCCAGGTACATCATCATCTCCTGTAACCTTTCCTTTCCTCATTTCCTTGATAGCTTTTTCCACCTCACTTTGTAAAATATATGGTCCTTTCCCGTCTGTATCTACTTCTTCTTCCGGTTGAACTTCTAAGGTTTCTGGCCGATTAGGTTGATCATATAGTTCTGTAATATACTTTTCCCAAATTTTCATCACTTTCCTCTGATCTACTATTCTATTCCCCTGGGAGTCTTCGATGCCAAAATTTTGAATCCCATGATTCTCTTTCCATCCTAGTTCTTTTGTCTTCATGTACATCAAATCATAACGTCCTGTTCTTTGAAATTCTATAATCTCATTACATATCTTCTCAAGAGATTCCTTTTCGGCCCTGTCCGTGGCTCTTTTCAATTCATTCCTCAGTCTCCTATATTTCCTCCTCCCTTCTTCATTGTTGACATTCTTCCATTTCCTTCGCTCCTCCATTTTACTCATCATCTCCTGTGTAACCCATGGTTTTCTTGCTATCTTCTCAACTTTACCAACCAAATCACTGATAGTATGTAACATGCATTCTTTTATATTGTTCCACTGCGCTTCACCATTTCCGCTTTCACCTTCAATTGCACCGAGTTTCTCTTCTAGGGTCTCTTGCACGCTTTGTCTTTGAGCATATAACTTCTCCAAATCCCATCTGGGTCTGCGCTTTCGAAATCTTATAATTTTCTTCAACCTGGTTTGGAACTTGGCAACCAGTAAGTTGTGGTCAGAGTCAATATGTGCCCCAGGAAGCGTCTTCACATCCTTCACACTGTTTCTGAATCGATGTTTCACAAGGATGTAGTCCAGCTGATGCCTCCTCCAATCCCTAGGTGCCTTCCATGTGTAAATTCTTCTCTTTGGCTTCTTGAACCAAGTGTTGGTGACAATCAGTCCATTTCTTTCACAAAAGTCAATAAGCATTTGACCCCTGTGATTCCGTCTTCCTAGTCCATGTGATCCAACAATATTCTGATATCTTATATAATCTATTTTATTTTCATTGCGGAAAACAGTGAAGAGTTCTATCAGAGTGGACCTGATGTCTCATATATAATTTATTTTATTTTATTTTCAATTCATAAAATAGCGAAGAGGTCTGTGAGAGTGGAACAGCGTTGACCGTGTTCGTGCGTTTATGTTTAGCGGGATATTTGCAACGTTTTTCAAGTTTGTGTTTAAAATGAGTCAAATATTTAAGGCGACGCATAATCACATACAATAACTAGGTTATACGTTTTTCAGCAATAATTATTCTTAAAATAACCAAATTTCTGGAGGAAGGAGTGCATTCGTATTAACAGTTAATTAAACTATGGTGTTTATGAATCTTTATCTATTTTGAGTGCGCGAGTTAAAGTTCTCTTCCGGTTGTGGTGGTAGGGAAGTGTACGTGAGTGATTGTGAAGTTTAAATGTGGTCAATGATCATTAACATCTGAAGTATTAATTAGTAATTTTTGTTTTGTTGCATCTTTTTTTATTTATCCACACATTGCTGCAGCATATTATTCACTCAGTATACACATTTATGCATTTGTCACTGTAGAACGTCGCCTTTAAGCGGCGTATGATGTGGGAATAAGAGGATTATATTTTTATTAATTTAATGTCGGATGTTTTATGCATTTTGTGTATTTTTATAATTCGGCGGAGATTGTATTGCATAATAGATCCTTCATCTTCTGCATTGTTGGGTTCAATTTAGGTTTGAAGGCTCATTCTTTGTCATGGGGGCCTACAAGTACATTCAGGAGCTGTACCGTAAGAAACAAAGTGATGTTATGAGATTTTTGCTACGTATCAGGTGCTGGCAGTATCGCCAGTTGACGAAAATGCACCGAGCCCCAAGACCATCACGTCCAGATAAAGCTCGCAGAATGGGATATAAAGCTAAGCAAGGTATGAAACTATGCTTGGAATTCAAATGAAATTGAATTGAATTGAATTGAATGGATGGAGAAAATCAGTGATGAATTGTACATGCACCACTCCTATATTTTTAGTGAGGATTATGTATTTCTGAGGTAACAGAATTATAGGTGCAGATGAACAATTTAAAATCAGCACATGGATTGTGAGTGAGCCGTTGCGTTAAAAATATGTTTCAGGTTATGTTATCTATCGCATTTGTGTCCGTCGGGGAGGTCGTAAGCGGCCAGTACCAAAAGGTGCAACATTTGGAAAACCAAAAAGTCATGGAGTGAACCAGCTGAAGCCCACTCGCAACTTGCAGTCTGTTGCTGAAGTATGTATATGTCTGAAATAAAAAAAAGTCAAGGAAAATAGCCATGCATTACTATCAATAGGAGCAAGATATTTTACTGTGCTTAATGGGACAGCAGATCAGAATTGTTGCATTCAAAGTTTGAAGATGTCTTTTATTGCAATTGATAAGCTATGGTAAAGTGTGCATTTGATTCATTCGCTGTTGAGATTATTGTGGAAGACACAGAGCTTTATTGCCAGTGCTTTTTAAGTTGATTTTATAGTATACCATTAGGAAGGTCCAAGAAAATCAGAAGGGATTTTAAATTTTGAATTGTTTCATTTTGGTCCGTTACACTATCAATCACCAATTATCAATAGAACCTCCGTCGAGTGTAACAATATATATTCTTAGAACCTCCGTCGAGTGTAACAATATATATTCTTTATCACCATTTTCTCACATTTGCCTTACATGTTTCGGCTCACAAAGAGCCATCATCAGAGGCAACCACAACAAAAACATGGAAACACTTGCACTGCTCAACAATCACAATATACAGTTTTTTGTGGAAGATGTTACACGTATCGGAGCGTAAAACACAACAACATCCAGT